AGCCAGCGGCTCGCCAGGCCCTCGACGCTGCACTCTCCATCGAGGCCCCGTGCTGGAGCTCGGGAGTGGGAGCCAGGCTGGGCGCGGCGGTGGTCCAGGCCGTTCCGACGCGCATCACGCGGAGATGGCTGGGTGCCCAGCGGAGCGCCGGCATCTCTGCGCCCAGGTCCTGGCTGCAAGAAGCTTACGGCACAACAGAAATGCGGCATGCAATGCAGCTCCGCTCCTGCAGGCACACGGCAGACAAAGTCTCTGGCCGAGCGTGCCCGGCTTCCGAGCTGGCGGCCTCCAAGTCTTCCGGCTTGCAGACCAGGATCGTGGCACGGCTCACGCAGAGCTTCTGCAAGAGCTGCTCCGAGGGAGCCAGAAGCGTGGCTCCGGCTGTCAGGCAAGCCCAGGCTACACCCAAACCTCCGACGCTGCCCGCTTTCAGGCTGCAGAGCACGCGGGTCGTGCGGTCCACATGCAGCCGCCACGAAGCGGAGGCCTGCTGCAGCTCGGCTTCGGATGCAGGCAGCGCTCGGAGCCCATCGCCTCAAACAGCTGATACGTCTGACATGTGCCCGAGTCAAAAAGAAAGGTGCTGCGAATCGATGACTTCTGCTTCCGGCAAGAGGCTCGTCTCTTCGAAGGCGATGCAGGCAACTTGTGCCGAGGCCCGCTGCTTCGGCATCTTCGACTGGAGAGAGGGGGAGCCCACATCCACGCAGACGACCTCATCTCGCAACATATCACCTATATACCAGATTCCAGACTGCAAGCAGCAGAAAACCACGACAGAAGATGTTACAAGCGACTGATTGCAGGCCTTGCCACGTCGGCAAGCTTGCAGTGCTGCTCCAGGCATGTCCACCGGGCCTCTGCCATCTCCGCCCTTCTGGCCAAGAGCATCTGCGGCTTCGCCACTCGGAGCTGCTCCAGCAAGGAGAGATCACTGCTGCTCGAATCCAAGATGCAGAAAGTGCGGCCCTCCCTGGCGGCAGCCAGCATAGCCGCAAGCCTGCCCGGAAGCTCCAAGCAGATGGCCACGCACCCGGATCCGGATGGCTCATGCTTCCTCTGATGAAGCAGCTGCTGGTACGAAGCTGACAGCTTAGACAACTGATGGTAGCTGATGCTTTGGCAGCCAGACTCGGCGCAAATCACATGGGGCATTTCCTCCAAGCGGGCCATGAAGTCATGCACCAATCCCTCAGCGATCTCAGCGCCACCTTCGTGGTCAGAGTCGGAGTCGTCGCCCGACAGAGCCAGCGCAGCGGCCAGCGACCGCACTGTAGGATGCTCGAAAAGCAGCTGCAAATCCACCTGCTGCAATGAAGGCCTTGCACGCATCTGGGAAATGAGACGCCCGAAGCCTCCGGAATCCACGCCCAGGTCCTGCAACAGTTGCTATTACAGCCAGTACTGCAGCACAAGTACACGGTCCGGAACATCTGCCACAGGGAGTACAGTACTTAATGTCACGATTGGTTGCAGTGTGGCACAAACTCGTGCGCACCTCCATGAAGTGGGAGTTGCAGTCCCACTGCTCCACATTGCTGAGCTGGGGTGCCAGGCAGGCGGCAATCTCCCTCTCCAGCTCGCTGGCGCCGTCCTTCACGAAGCTCTCCCAAGCATCCTTCTTGGTCGCTTCGGCATCAGCGGTTTCCGCATCCAGCGGCACGGCGTTGCGCAGGAGCTTCCCGGAGGTGTTGAACTTCCAGGCGCCGTTCTCGACGACCTTCACCTGCGGGCCCGGCCGGCTCTAGCTTTCTTGCGGGAAAAAAAGCACATGCAGAGAGCTGCACAGGCTGCACATGGCCCTACTGTAGGGAGGGAATAAGTAAAGTGCGGGGCGCCTGGCTCAGCACGTAGCCGCGGCCCAGAGCTGCAGCCGTTGCCTTGAGCTCCGCCTCCGAAAGCTCCGCCGAACCCGAGGCCAGCAGAACCTGCAACAGAAGTCGCAACTCAAAGGTTTAGGGTTTATAGATGGGTTTATAGGGTTTATAGGATTTAGGGCTTAGGGTTTAGGGGCGGTTCCCCACGCATCTTCCCGCGCTGAGGGCGCAACCAGTCTCTGCCCGCCGTCCAGGACGCGGGCCTCGCAATGCTTCACCGCCGGCAGCTCGGTGATCGCCTCCCAGATTCCAAAAAAGCCGAGATCCGTCTCGCTCTAAGCAGTTAAGTGCTTTACAGCTTCATCACACACAGAAACAGGCGGTCCTGCTCCAGGGCTTCCAGCTCGATCCGGATCCCGCGAACCTTCACCTGCCAGTCCACGCGTCCGTGGTAGTGGATGCGCCCGTCATCGGCACGCGAAGCAAGGTCTCCGGTGTTGTAGACCTCAGCAAAAATGTCGGGGGGGGTGCAGCAGTTCGAGGAGTGGAGTGGAGAGAAAGTTTCTGACTGGGCCGAGTGGCGCGGCCGATGCCCGGCAGCTCGATGAACTTCTGCCTCGTCTTCTCCTCCTCTTCCAGATATCCGCGGGCCAAGCCAATGCCTCCCACAAAGAGGACGCCTCGCTCGCCTTCGGGCTTCACCTGAACCAGCCGAGGCTAAAGTGGCTAAGGCTGGAACATTTGGGAGTTTCTGGAAATTAGGGGGTACCTTATTTTGGGGTCCTTATAATAGGGATCCTACTACTTAGATTACTATATTACGGTCCCCTCTTTTCGGGAACTCCCATGTCAGGCTCCTGCGCCGGCCTCCAGGGTCTCTGGGTCCAGGATGTAGCAGTCGTAGGTGGGCAACTGTGCTCCGATCGTGATCGCATCGCCGCTCTGGACATACCCCCCAGTGCAAACCACAGAAATCTCCGAAGGCCCATAGCTGTTGAAGAGCCTGCGCCCAGGCGCCCAAGTGTCCACGACGTCGGCGCCCAAGGCCTCCCCCCCAACATCCAGGATGCGCAGATCAGGGAGCCCAGCGGCTGTTCTGGACACATCTTTGGCTCCTCCAGAGGCACACGCTTTTTCACTTGTAAAACCTAGCTGCGCCGCCTACTCCTTAAGTGGTCAAGGAGCTGCAACGGTCACGGTTGGCCCTCTCCTCCGCCCGCCATGGTGCGCAGGTGCGAGGGCACGACGCTCATTCCGGAGATCTGCTTCTCCTTCAGCCAAACTTGCATGTCCGGGCCACTCTTCTTCACGAGATCCGGGCACGTCACGCTGGTGGCCCTGGCAGCCATGGTGCCGTAGACCTCGATGACGTGAACATCCCAGGACATGGAAGCAACCTGTGCGAAGCGATCTTGCTCGTTCAGCCCCACATACCTGCCCCAAATGCGCACGACGTTCAGGGCGCTCTTGTGTCGGATCATCACTGCTTTCGGCTTGCCCGTGGAGCCGCTGGTGAAGATCAGGTAGGCTAACCTTCGAAGATCACAGAAAAAAACCCTACGACTCCCTTCTGAAGAGCCCTACGTCGAAGCTACTCAGCCGGCCCGGCCTGTCCAGGTCCTCTGGCGCATGGGCTGGCCGCAGAGGAAGGGCCGTGCTGCTTGCCTTCCTCAGAGCGAGGTCCACGTCCAGCACCATGCGCGGGAACCCGCCCAGGGTCGCTGCCACATTTGTGATGTTCAGCCGCCGCATCGTCGATTCGTTCGTGATCATGATAGGAGGCTGCGACACCTCAACCCAGCTCCGCAGCTTCTCAACCGGCTCCCCGACGTCGAAGGCGTTGTAGGCACAACCCTCAAGCAGCACGGCATGCACAGCTGCGATGCTCTGGACGCCTCGCTCCAGCACGATGGTCACCTTGGCACAACGAACTCGAGATCGGGGTAAAAAGCACAACAGCATGAGAGCACAAGAGCTCAGCCACCCGAAGAGCATGTCATGCGGCAAAAGATAATTGAAGCCCTCCCGACCTGCTACATGTGCCGAGGGTGGTGAAATTGGGGAAAGCAGAGACTACCGAACGAAGCCCTTGAGCCCCAGACCACGTGCTCATCGGCTCGCCGCGTGTGTGCGTCCGGTGAGCTGGGGTCAAAAGCTCCACATGTCGGCAACTCGAGGCTTTGCAAAGCTTTTCGCAGGACTTTGCGGATTGCATCTGCCATCTGAGCCACCTGGGGCATTCAGGCGTGAGGGTGCCATGAAATGCTGCGTTGAAGCTACAGCGCGGCTAAGAAAACTCAAAGCGCTTACTCCTGCACCTGAAGAAAAGTGTAGCAGCCTTCCTGCGTCTCCAAGCAGATGCCTTGGGGCTTTGCCAAAGCAGCTGTGGTCAAAAGCTCGCCCAGGTTTGTCTCCACACCTGGCATGCAGCTGTATCCATCGACGTCCGTGGTCAACGCCAGCTCCTCCATAGTCGGTGCCACGTGCTCCAAGGCCATGGTGTCTCAGCTGAAAAACTCTACAAACAGCGAGGACGTTGGGCAGGGCACGCAAGGGCGGAAATTCTGCGAAATGAGCCCGTGACGGCCCGCGCGGAACACACGTCAACTGATCAGCTCATGGGCCATGTGGGTTGATTCCGGGGGCTGGTGAGGCATGAACTGCAGAACATCATGGAGACTGTCGTCAGTGCCTGTTGCAGCATCCAGCGCTCCGACCATGATGATCCATCGCGAGTAGCCGTGGCTGCTTAGACGCTGCATTCTTCCGCCATCTTTCAGCAAACACACCGTCCCTGACTCGTTAGAACTCACAGCTTTCCCAAATCGTTCACAGCATCAAAGGCGCCCCACCCATAATTACCTCCTTTACAATTGCTGTCCGCTGCTCCAAGCACCGGGCGAGAAACCATGTCCGGCCTTTTCCGTCACCGTGACTTTGCATCGACGGTGCATGACACCGCAAGGCACTTTACAGGCTTTGAGGCTGTACAGCTGGCCACTCGTCGGGCGCCAGTCCTCCACCTTTGCGCTTGCGCCTCGCCTGCGTGGCTCCGCCAGTCAGGCACATGCCAAAATTGTAAAAAAAATTGTGCGGAGGAGCCCGCATGACCAGCTTCTGATTCTGTTGTGCCCCGCACCCTTGCGCGGGAGCTTTCATCATCAAAAGAGGACTCATTTCGGATTACGCGCTGCTGGCCGGGTCTTCAGCAATGTGGGACCTGCAACGGTGACCGCTCAGCAGCAGTTTTTCGTGGCCCTGGCTCCCTCCGCTCTCTGCCCAGCCTGGAAGCGCACGCTCTAAGTCATCCACTGCTGCAGCTGGCGCACCTACAACATCCAAAAACTCGGAAGACAAGCGCAGGCCCAGCACAGCTCACCCTCTAAGGCCCTAGGCCTTCGTAGGTGCCGCCTGGCACCAGGTTGCTGCCTAGCCAGAGAAGTACAGCCTTCACATTTGCTGCTCGTATATCGGGGTAAAAAATCTTGCAGCCGAGCCGCCTTTCCACGTGAGGCTTCCTGGACGCAGGACCGCGCCATCCCCAGCATCGCACATGGCAACCTCAAGCAACAGCACTGGAAGGTGCCTCCTTCTGAACTTCTTTGACTCTTTAAGCGAGACTATAGCTGCAGCCGTGAACGGCACGCCAGTAGCTGCCGAGTCACACTGGCGCCGCTCATGATGGTTACGCCGTTTCCAATCTTGTAGCCGGTGAACTTGAGGCGGAAGTCCTGCTGCGCTGCAGGAGAAGACGTATGCGCATGTCGCCCTGCTGCCTGGAATCATTGCATGGGGCCTCGAAGGAGTGGCATCTCACCTGCCCATCGTAGTCCACGGTCACGTCGTCCCCGATCTCCGTGAAGGGCGCATCGACGAGGACAAGTTCATTCCTTTGCAGAGAGTCTGACTACATGTGACACGAGATGCCCGGAACAACCGGAACAACGGCGACTCCAGGTCCCCGTCCCAGGGTGCAGTCCCAGGAGCATGCAGAAGAAGCGCCTGCCCACTTTGGCGCCCAGCAGCCGCAAGATGGGCGCTTGCCATCGGCTTCCGGCGGTCTGAGGGCACAAGCTTTCAGAGCTTTCAGAGCTGTCAGATTCACAGGTGGAGATCTAAAATGGCAGTGATCTGCGAGGTGCGAGGTGCGAGCGCCTGGAAGGGTAGCTTGAAGACGCGCTGCTGCGCCGTCAGCGCCGTGAACCACCGGGTCACGGTCGTGGAGTAGTAGGCCTCAGACTCAGTTCGGGGCCAAGGCCTATACTGGGCCGTCTGGGACTGGGATGTATCGAAGCCCTCATATGATGAAGGCAAGGAGACGTTGGAGCGCGGGGCGCTGCCGTTGAAGAGCAGGTTGCCAAGGAGAACGGAGAAGACATACCACGATCCGAGAGCAAAGGCAATGTAGATGCCCAGCACCTCAAAGGCTTTCCCAACTCCAGTGATGTCCGGCACCAGCACACGGCTCGTCACGAAAGCAGCTGCCGTCACCATGCCCTGCACGCCCCGGTAGAGGAAGACGTCCAGGATGCTGGTGCTGAAGTGATGCCAGAAGCGCGCCAGGCAGCTGGCGGGCTCCGGGCCCTGGTTCACCTTGCCGGCCCCAGCCGGAGCCTGGCTGCTGAGGCGCCTGAACTTCATCGCCGGATTGCCGAAGTAGCTCATGTTCGGCTCCGTGGGTCTTTCCGGAAGCCAAGTGCCCACTCCGCAGAAGCTGCCCTCGGGAAGGCCCTGCGGCAGGTGGTTGTGGTTGCCCAGGAAGGTGTGGTCACCTCGAGCCGCACCCTTTCATGAACTAAAAGCAGAAACACACTGGTCACTGGCCTCGGCCTCTACATCTTACAAGTCACTCCTAATTGCACTTCCCAGCCGCTCATGTAGGTGATGCACGGCACCTTGAACTGGCCTCGGTCTACATCCACGGAGGTCAAGATGTTGCCCGTGGCGAAGAAGCAGCCGTTGCCCACGACCAGGGTTTCCGGTAGCGTCACCTGACTACTAGGAGAGAGGTTGAGGAAAAATGAGAGGGCTCGAGCCGACAGCCGACCCTGCCCGCCTGCAAACCCATCGCGCAGCCGTGCCCGAAAGTTGCGCCGCAGAGGCGGATGAAGGCCGGCACGATGGACGCATCAGCAAGCATCTCCGATGCCTGGCACACTTCGCCCCACGCCCCACGTCTACTTCTCCAAGATTTGCGTCTTCACCTGCCTGCAGCACCATCGACATCTTGAGCGCCGCAATCTGGGCGCGGATGCTCACCAGCGAGTAGGTACACGGCGGCTTGACCTTGGGCAGTACCCTGCACAGAAGCGCGGTCCCGAACAGCTGGCCGATGGTGTTGATCATAGAGACCTAGGAAAGCAAGGGGCGCAGACTGACACCAAGATACTCCATGCATCACCACCCAAAAGCATGTACCCAGCTCTGGTGTGGCCCAGCGGCTCCAAAGGCCATCAGTGGCACCCAGCAAAACATCTTGAAGAGCTGACTGGGCAGTGCATCCTTAGCAAACTTCTCATACAAAGAGCCAGCGTATCGTGTGCTTGCACCTCTTACTTGTCACCTCTAGCAGCTGCCGCAGAGTGGCCATGTGCTCGCTTTGCATCACGTGCTCTTCCACCTGCTCGGGCTTGTTGAAGGGGTAGTCACTGCTTAGCCTCAGGCAACAATCACAGAAAGATGTCACGCGGCATGTGGCGTGCGGCAGCCAGATTTTCGTCTTCATCCGAAGGGCAGCTGAAGGAAGAAGACGCCCAGAAGAGGCACCAAGGCCTTCGGAAGCAGCAACAGCCAGTAGCCCGTCGCGAAGGCCGCCGCGGCGCAGCGGAAGCGACGGGCCTCAGCCGGTGTGGGGACACGGGAAGCGTCAGCGCCAGCCACCGGCTGGGCGGGCACGCCGCAGACGCGGCCGTCGACAACCATGCCACTGGATACCGTTGACAAAGGCTCCACGTAACCAGCAGCAGCCACCTGAATGGCAAAGATTGCATCCAGAATCCAGATCTTAGCAACAGGGCCCCAGGGCCCTTGCACTTAAGAATCCACTTCAGCCTTTCGTCTCAAGCCCGCCTCACAACCTGGCTCCAGCGTGCAGTTGGGCCCGACGTAGGCGCCAGCCCCAACCCGGACGCGCTTCAGAACCATGCGCCGGGTGCCGTAGTTCACAGCTGTCAGGTGCCTTGGCCCGTGCACAGTCGCCAGGTCCCCAACCGTCACCAGGTCGAAGGCCACGACGCGGGCCGTGATCACAGAGGAGAGGGACACGTTGGCTCCAAGGGCTTTGAGCGCCAAGTTGCGCATGAAGAGGAAGGCGATGCTGCTGCCCTGATGCGCATTTTGGCCCACGATTGTGCCCTTTGCCATGTGCTCCGCGAGCCAATGCCGCAAGTACATCAAGCTGTAGATGTCGTGTTCTCCTTCCTTGTAGCGGCCGATGAGAAGCCACTTGGTGGCCGCTAGAAGGCCCACCCGCACGAACTGCTCCAGGAACAGCAAGCCCAGCAGAAGCAGGAAGGTGCCCCAAAGCGGCAGCACAAAGCTCAGTGGCAGCAGCACACGCTCAGCCAGGACTAGGCGTGCCGCCACGAAGACCGGCTGTGCCTTGGCTGACAAGGCCGTCACACATAATCGCGACAAGCATCCTATGCGACACACATAGTGCCCTTGCGTCCAGGTGGCAAGAATCGCAGCGCCTTGCACTGTCGCGCAGAGCACCGGCCGGGCGTTAGGTCCGAAGGAGTCCGCAGGCTCTTCTGCAGTCTGGCCCAAGACGTAGCCAGCCCTCGGGGGCCGTCACCCTAATTCACAGAAATCTCACGAAAACCTCACAAAGCTGAGGGGGCGACAGAGTCGAGGCAATGGACAGCGAGGAGCCAGCGGCTCGCCAGGCCCTCGACGCTGCACTCTCCATCGAGGCCCCGTGCCGGAGCTCGGGAGTGGGAGCCAGGCTGGGCGCCGCGGTGGTCCAGGCCGTTCCGACGCGCATCACGCGGAGATGGCTGGGTGCCCAGCGGAGCGCCGGCATCTCTGCGCCCAGGTCCTGGCTGCAAGAAGCTTACGGCACAACAGAAATGCGGCATGCAATGCAGCTCCGCTCCTGCAGGCACACGGCAGACAAAGTCTCTGGCCGAGCGTGCCCGGCTTCCGAGCTGGCGGTCTCCAAGTCTTCCGGCTTGCAGACCAGGATCGTGGCACGGCTCACGCAGAGCTTCTGCAAGAGCTGCTCCGAGGGAGCCAGAAGCGTGGCTCCGGCTGTCAGGCAAGCCCAGGCTACACCCAAACCTCCGACGCTGCCCGCTTTCAGGCTGCAGAGCACGCGGGTCGTGCGGTCCACATGCAGCCGCCACGAAGCGGAGGCCTGCTGCAGCTCGGCTTCGGATGCAGGCAGCGCTCGGAGCCCATCGCCTCAAACAGCTGATACGTCTGACATGTGCCCGAGTCAAAACGCAAGTGCCGCGAATCGATGACTTCTGCTTCCGGCAAGAGGCTCGTCTCTTCGAAGGCGATGCAGGCAACTTGTGCCGAGGCCCGCTGCTTCGGCATCTTCGACTGGAGAGAGGGGGAGCCCACATCCACGCAGACGACCTCATCTCGCAACATATCACCTATATACCAGATTCCAGACTGCAAGCAGCAGAAAACCACGACAGAAGATGTTACAAGCGACTGATTGCAGGCCTTGCCACGTCGGCAAGCTTGCAGTGCTGCTCCAGGCATGTCCACCGGGCCTCTGCCATCTCCGCCCTTCTGGCCAAGAGCATCTGCGGCTTCGCCACTCGGAGCTGCTCCAGCAAGGAGAGATCACTGCTGCTCGAATCCAAGATGCAGAAAGTGCGGCCCTCCCTGGCGGCAGCCAGCATAGCCGCAAGCCTGCCCGGAAGCTCCAAGCAGATGGCCACGCACCCGGATCCGGATGGCTCATGCTTCCTCTGATGAAGCAGCTGCTGGTACGAAGCTGACAGCTTAGACAACTGATGGTAGCTGATGCTTTGGCAGCCAGACTCGGCGCAAATCACATGGGGCATTTCCTCCAAGCGGGCCATGAAGTCATGCACCAATCCCTCAGCGATCTCAGCGCCACCTTCGTGGTCAGAGTCGGAGTCGTCGCCCGACAGAGCCAGCGCAGCGGCCAGCGACCGCACTGTAGGATGCTCGAAAAGCAGCTGCAAATCCACCTGCTGCAATGAAGGCCTTGCACGCATCTGGGAAATGAGACGCCCGAAGCCTCCGGAATCCACGCCCAGGTCCTGCAACAGTTGCTATTACAGCCAGTACTGCGGCATAAGCACACGGTCCAGAACATCTACCTTAGGGAGTACAGTACTTAATGTCATGATTGGTTGCAGTGTGGCACGAACTGGTGCGCACCTCCATGAAGTGGGAGTTGCAGTCCCACTGCTCCACGTTGCTGAGCTGGGGTGCCAGGCAGGCGGCAATCTCCCTCTCCAGCTCGCTGGCGCCGTCCTTCACGAAGCTCTCCCATGCATCCTTCTTGGTCGCTTCGGCGTCAGCGCCTTCCGCATCCAGCGGCACGGCGTTGCGCAGGAGCTTGCCGGAGGTGTTGAACTTCCAGGCGTCGTTCTCGACGACCTTCACCTGCGGCGGGCCCCGACGCTCTAGCGTTGAGTGGCGGAAAAAAACTGCACCTGGCCCCCGGCTCTAGCTTTCTTGCGGAAAAAAAAAAAAGCACAGAGAGCTGCACAGGCTGCCCCTAAACCCTACTGTAGGAAGGGAATAAGTAAAACATGCGGGGACGGGGACGCCTGGCTCAGCACGTAGCCGCGGCCCAGAGCTGCAGCCGTGGCCTTGAGCTCCGCCTCCGAAAGCTCCGCCGAACCCGAGGCCAGCAGAACCTGCAAACAGAAGTCGCAACTCAAAGGTTTAGGGTTTATAGTTGGGGGTTTATAGGGTTTATAGGATTTAGGGCTTAGGGTTTAGGGGCGGTTCCCCACGCATCTTCCCGCGCTGAGGGCGCAACCAGTCTCTGCCCGGCGTCCAGGACGCGGGCCTCGCAATGCTTCACTGCCGGCAGCTCCGTGATCGCCTCCCAGATTCCAAAAAAGCCGAGATCCGTCTCGCTTTCAGCAGTTAAGTGCTTCACAGCTTCATTACACACAGAAACAGTAACATTTCGCAAGAGCCGGTCCTGCTCCAGGGCTTCCAGCTCGATCCGGATCCCACGAACCTTCACCTGCCAGTCCACGCGTCCGTGGTAGTGGATGCGCCCGTCATCGGCACGCGAAGCAAGGTCTCCGGTGTTGTAGACCTCAGCAAAAATGTCGGGGGGGTGCAGCAGTTCGAGGAGTGGAGTGGAGAGAAAGCTTTTGAGAGGGCCGCCAAGCGGCGCGGCCGATGCCAGGCAGCTCGATGAACTTCTGCCTCGTCTTCTCCTCCTCTTCCAGATATCCGCGAGCCAAGCCAATGCCTCCCACGAAGAGGACGCCTCGCTCGCCTTCGGGCTTCACCTCAACCAGCCGAGGCTATAGAGCTAAAGCTAAAGCTGCGACATTTGGGAGTTTCCGGAAATTAGGGGGGACCTTATTTTGGAGTCCTTATAATAAGGATCCTACTACTTAGGGTACTACATTAGGGTCCCCTCTTTTCGGGAACTCCCATTTCAGGCTCCTGCGCCGGCCTCCATGGTCTCTGGGTCCAGGATGTAGCAGTCGTAGGTGGGCAACTGTGCTCCGATCGTGATCGCATCGCCGCTCTGGACATACCCCCCAGTGCAAACCACGGAAATCTCCGAAGGCCCATAGCTGTTGAAGAGCCTGCGCCCAGGCGCCCAGGTGTCCACGACGTCGGCGCCCAAGGCCTCCCCCCCAACATCCAGGATGCGCAGATCAGGCAGCCCAGCGGCTGTTCTGGACACATCTTTGGCTCCTCCAGAGGCACACGCTTCTCACTTTTAACCTAGCTGCGCCGCCTACGCCTTAAGTGATTAAGGAGCTGCAACGGTCACGGTTGGGGCCCTCTCCTCCGCCCGCCATGGTGCGCAGGTGCGAGGGCACGACGCTCATTCCGGAGATCTGCTTCTCCTTCAGCCAAACCTGCATGTCCGGGCCACTCTTCTTCACGAGATCCGGGCACGTCACGCTGGTGGCCCTGGCAGCCATCGTGCCGTAGACCTCGATGACGTGAACATCCCAGGACATGGAAGCAACCTGTGCGAAGCGATCTTGCTCGTTCAGGCCCACGTACCTGCCCCAAATGCGCACGACGTTCAGGGCGCTCTTGTGTCGGATCATGACTGCTTTCGGCTTGCCCGTGGAGCCGCTGGTGAAGATCAGGTAGGCTAACCTTCGAAGATCACAAGAAAAAAACCCTGCGACTCCCTTCTGAAGAGCCCAACGTCGAAGCTACTCAGCCGGCCCGGCCTGTCCAGGTCCGCTGGGGCATGGGCTGGTCGCAGAGGAAGGGCCGTGCTGCTTGCCTTCCTCAGAGCGAGGTCCACGTCCAGCACCATGCGCGGGAACCCGCCCAGGGTCGCTGCCACATTTGTGATGTTCAGCCGCCGCATCGTCGATTCGTTCGTGATCATGATAGGAGGCTGCGACACCTCAACCCAGCTCTGCAGCTTCTCAACCGGCTCCCCGACGTCGAAGGCGTTGTAGGCACAACCCTCAAGCAGCACGGCATGCACAGCTGCGATGCTCTGGACGCCTCGCTCCAGCACGATGGTCACCTTGGCACAACGAACTCGAGATCAGGGCAAAAAGCGCAACAGCATGCATGAGAGCACAAGAGCTCAGCACACCGAGCCCATGTCATGCGGCCATGTGAGCCCTGTGAAGCACGCCGTCAAAAGAGAATTGAAGCCCTCCTGACCTGGTACGTATGCCACATTGGGGAAAGCAGAGCCCTGTGAGCCCCAGACCACGTGCTCATCGGCTCGCCGCGTGTGTGCGTCCGGTGAGCTGGGGTCAAAAGCTCCACATGTCGGCAACTCGAGGCTTTGCAAAGCTTTTCGCAGGACTTTGCGGATTGCATCTGCCATCTGAGCCACCTGGGGCATCCAGGCGTGAGGGTGCCATGAAATGCTGCATTGAAGCTACCGTGCGGCTAAGAAAACTCAAAGCGCTTACTCCTGCACCTGAAGAAAAGTATAGCAGCCTTCCTGCGTCTCCAAGCAGATGCCTTGGGGCTTTGCCAAAGCAGCTGTGGTCAAAAGCTCGCCCAGGTTTGTCTCTACACCTGGCATGCAGCTGTATCCATCGACGTCCGTGGTCAACGCCAGCTCCTCCATAGTCGGTGCCACGTGCTCCAAGGCCATGGTGTCTCAGCTGAAAAACTCTACAAACAGCGAGGACGTTGGGCAGGGCACGCAAGGGCGGAAATTCTCCGTAATGAGCCCGTGACGGCACGTGCGGAACACACGTCAACTGATCAGCTCATGGGCCATATGGGTTGATTCCGGGGGCTGGTGAGGCACGCATGAACTGCAGAACATCATGGAGAATGTCGTCAGTGGCTGTTGCAGCATCCAACGCTAACGACCATGATGATCCATCGCAAGTAGCCGTGGCTGCTTGGACGCTGCATCCTTCTGCCATCTTTCAGCAAACACACCGTCCCTGACTCGTTAGAACTCACAGCTTTCCCAAATCGTTCACAGCACCCATAGTTACCTCCTTTACAATTGTTTTCCGCAGCTCCAAGCACCGGGCGAGAAACCATGTCCGGCCCCATCTGATCACAGCGGGCACGGCATGCCTCGCCGACAGCGGATCGTAGACAGCATAGTTCGGTTGTGCAGCTGATATGGGGGAGACTGCAGAATCTTATCCACCGAGCATACACGTCATACATGTCCATGCCTTGCTGCACCACTGACTTGTACATAGCCAGCAGTAGCAGGAAAGACTCTCGTCTCAGCAATTCCCAACCCGAGGTGCCTGAAGCTCGGCACGGCTGCACGGGCCTCATGCCGGAGGAGCTTCACGAAAGCGCCGATCTGGAGGCGCCTGGACCAAATTCGGGCTTTGGGGGTGGAGCTACTCTTCCTTCCGCTTCTCTGCACATTCCTCATTTGCTTCTGTAACCGGGCCGCCTGCGAAGCACCCTCGTCCAGAAGCTGCAGCAAACCATCGCGGTGCTGGTCTGCACTGTCCTGGCTCTCTGCAGTGCGATGGAGCACGTTTCATGGAGCTGCACACTCGGCTAGCCGAATTCAGATGTAGGCTGCAGGGCTTCGCGATCCATCCTTCCCACATCAGCACAAGCAGGCGTCAAGGGAGTTCCAGCAAGGAGATCCCGATCCCACCAGTCCTTCGTCGCGGCTGGAACCTCCGAAAAAAAAGGAGGGACGCTTGCGTGTCATCGGCTCCGACTCCAGGCATCTCTGCATCTCTTCGCCTCTGCCTCCCCGACCTCACCCTCGGTTCCCGAAACTCAGAGACCCGACTTGAAAGAGACTTCAGCCCAGCTGCCATAGACAGAATGCCGACAGCTACCCAAAAACGAGCGCTGCGGAAAGCTGGTGAGTGCCTGGGACCACTCCACGGGGTGGAGGCGCCGGCGCTTCTCCGCCCGGTCCTGGCTTGAGAGAAAGCTCTGTAAAGGCTCCTCTCGATCCGGATTAGAACCCGAAGCCTGTCTTCAGGGCTTCGAGACCTTGAATCCGGAATGCAAGGGAGATGCAAATCAACGCCGACACCTGACATCCTCAAGTCAAGAGCTCAGAGTTCCCCCACGAGCATTGCAACCGCCATCAGCTGCCAAGGTCCTCGTAGAGAGTCTCCCTGCGCAGGGCATCATTCCTGGCGTGCCCGACGCCCGCATGAGGCTGTCAATGTGGCTTGGAAGATGGGCCCCGGGCTCCAAACTCTCCAAACGAATTTGAAAAATCGGCTCCAAGGGGCTACTTGGCTATGGTGTTTCATAGTGCCCCCTGGGCCCCGAAGATAGAGGCGCCTCTCGCCGACGGAGGCAGCCGCTGCCGGGCCGCAGATGATGCCTCGGAGCGTCAACGCAAGGCTCGAAGTCGCGAAGTTTGCGGCAGTTTGGGGCTGCGTTTGCCGCAACCAGCGCTACAGGGCCTTCTCTGCCACTGCCAGCGGGCATGTCTGTCTGGTCTTCCTGCTTTGCCAGATTCTGCAGGAGCAGCATGACTGTATGTAGGAATGCTAACCGTGAATCCTAGGACTAGGAGCAATACTTTCGGTAAGTTCGCTTCTCACCAATTCACAAATTCGGCTCTCCGCGCAGGGAGCCTCATAAAAAACACAAGGATTTTTTCATAAATTATCAAGGTTTAGGGTTTAGGGTTTAAGAGTTAGGGCTTAGGGTTTAAAGGTTTAGGGTTTGTTGGGGTTTAGGGTTTAGGGTTCAGTAGACAAGATGGAAGGGTAAGGAAACTGTCACACAGATGTTGCTTTAGGGTTCAGGGTTTAAGGCTTAGGGTTTAGGGTTTATAATGTAGGTGGGCGCAGGGAGGTGTGGCGGCAAATTCAGACCCTCCACTCTGGCTCAAGCGATTTTGCAGTGCCGTCGTGGCCGTGGGCGTCTTGAGGCCTCGTGGGTTCTTGCAGGGTGACCTGCAGGGGTGAGTTTAGCGCCCCGCCGCGCTCTGATGCACAGTGCAATGTTCTACCGGTTCAGGACGGGAAGCCAGTACTTCGTGCCTCTACTCACTGGCAAGAAGAACGCCAACGCGCACGACAAGAAGGCTCACGAGAGGATGATGATGAGCGCGACTGAAGGTGCGGTGGCGGTGTGATGGTGCGGCGGTGGCGTGGTGGTGATGGGGATCCTGGCGGTGATGGTGACGACCGGGGCAGGGCGGTTTACGACATTGAACAAGAGTCTGATGACTACGAGAGTTCACGAAACCCTGAAGGCGACTTCTTCGGTGAGTCCCAGTCCCAGCGGCGGCGCAAGGCGCGATTCAGCTCCCGGGCTCGCGCTGAGCCGGAGAGCGCTGGTGGAGGCAGCTCCTGGGCAAAGGCTGTCGCTGCAGTTCGAGGGCTTGGGGGTTTTGGGGGTTTAGAGGTTCGGGGTTTGAAGGTCAAAGGATTGAGGGATTTAAGGGTTTAGGGGTTGTCGGATTTATGTAGGAGTTCGATCTTCTGGCTCTCGCAATCTCAACTTCTGGGGGTCTGTGGTTCCATCGGATCTTGACACCTCGCTTGGAAGCTCCTCCTCATGACGGGCCACGAAGCCCTTCTCCAACACCTCGGGACGGCCGCAGATCTTCGATCTCGGGTGTAAGGCTGAAGATTTTGTGGGACTCTGCCGAAGGCTCTTTGAAAGTCACTCTACGATTGTTTGCAGATCGGCGGCTCATGTCAAGATTTAATCACCGATGCCGCCATCTAGCAATTTCTCGACAATGCCGCTGCCAATACTACGTGATTGTTCGTCGAAACGCACATCCTTGTTCGTCGAGTACCCTACGACGAAAAGGTTCCGTCACGAGAAGCACTCCGAAAACCGCATGCACCGCTCGCCTCCCTTCGCAGCCCAGGGGCAGCAGGGCATTGCCCGCCGGTGGAGGATGTTGTCGGGGTGGGTCCTGCAAGGACGTCGCGATTCTCCGCAACACTCCCCGTCCTGCCACCCCGAGAGCACATAATCACTCACACGGCCATTAGATGCAGCGTCCATGCTCAAGGCTCTTGCCTTGCCTGGGCGAACGGAGTCGGGCGTCTCCTCGTTGGAATCAGCAAACTGCCACCCCGCTTCCAAGCACCCAACTGCTTCGTGCTCTTGCTCGAAAGCTGCGCCAAGCGTCGGGTAGGTCCACCCGCAGCTCGGCCAGTGCGCCCAGCCGCAGCAGGCTCCCATGCTTCAGCAGCAGAGAACCTGGCATCCCAGGACTTGGGACCGGGCTTCGATTGCACGATAGCTTCGTACCCGATGCAGCTTTCAGTGTGGGCCGAATCGCAACCAGGTTGCTTTGCTCTGCGTCAGCTCTCTGGCCATCTACCAGGATCTCAGCATCGGGAAACACCTTTCACGGCACAGTGCTCAGGCGGGAAGAAGAAAGGAGTTGCCCTGCTCCCGACGCCTTCCAAACGATCCCCCAAGATCAAGACACGGGAAATCCCGCGAAACACAGCCTAGGAGTACGACACCCATCCAACCTCACAGTCTTTATGCTCTCGTCCTGCACGCGCGAACGTAGCTGCCGTGCCTCTTTCACTGTGTCATGTGTGTTCCTCGGCGGATGTTGAACGCGTGAGGCCCGGATATCGCCTCCACATACCAGCCGCCCCTGCCGTGTGCCAGGCGGGCATGCCGTTGCCGGATTTCAGGACCCGGCAACTCCCAGAAGGGTGCCTTCAAGGGCTTCTGCTGATCTCTCGCTCGCTGTTTCAACAGGGACTGCGCAGTACTTACATCTTCTTGCTAGCAATCAGCATGGTTCGAAAATCTAGGAATTAGCAAACCTCATCGGAAGCTGCCGGGAAAAAGGTTCGCGACTGGCAGTGACGGGAACAGCCTGGCATGCCATGCCTGAAAAGCAAGCAAAAAAAAAGCAAACCCTGACCCCGGTACTGGCCCTAAATCCTCGTGACCTCGCCAGCTGCCGCCCCGTCGTTGGAAGCCGCACTCCCCAGAAGCAAACCGCGATGATCCTGAGAACAGGCGGCGGGGGCGGCTCAGATCTTTTCTTTGTCCTGAAAGCATTCGGGCGTAGGGTTTGTAAGGATCAAGCCTCAAGTCTCTTTGCTTGGAGCATCGAAAGCAACCTCGCCACTCCATCTCTGTTTCATTCAGTTACCTAACGACCCATCAGCTGACAACCAGCGCTCCCTCAATTGCACCGGGCGTCCACGAGCCGCGCGCTCTGTGGATCGTCTCGGTGGCTGAGAATCGCCAGAGGGCCCTGTGCCGCCCACAGGGCCTGTGTGCAGAAGTGGCTATGCTCCAGGATTGAAGGCTTTTCGGAAGGGTGTGCACACCGATGCAGGGTGAAGGCAGTTGAATCAGTGAGGAAGACAGGGTCTGCAGCACAGGTAGTCTGGATACAGTAGGAGGCTACACTCCGAGTTTTCACCCCAAGATTGAAGCGGACAGAGCATCCCGAAAAGTGAAGAAACGACTAAGACTTAGACCGAAGGAAAACCGACGAACTAAGAGTGCCAGCAGTAAAGCTGTGCATGCATCATTACAGATCAGAGAGGCTTCCCCGCCGTGTGCAACAAGAGAAACATCACAGTATGGCAGCAAACCCAACCAACTTGCACCAAGAAAAGTCGCTCAACGATTACACTTTCGATCAGTCGCTTTCATCGTAGAGGAGGATATCATCAATGTTAGGCAGTCAGGATTAGCAAAAGGTACAGTAATGTACTGCTACGACTTTGGACCCTCCGGCCTTGTCTGTGGTCTTGATGACCTGTCTTAGAATCGCAGAAGCGATGCAAGTTTATAGGCATCTGAGTAGGAGTGCAAACACAAATATGAACATGCGAGTATTAGGGGCTTAGAAGAGGGCGTATCCCACACATTCACCTGCTCTGCACAGGCAAATGCAGGCAGGTCACGAGGATGGAATGTCCGATCGAGTCCAGCCAATGCCTGAGCTTTCAAACGCTGCTGCAAATCGACTGGCTGGAACTCAAGTCAAGCCCGCAGCCCGCGAAGCAGCTGTGGAACCGGGTCTGCCGAAACGGCTGCCACCATCGCCAGTTAGAGCCTTCGAAGCTGAAAGCGGGAGTGCGACACTGCGCGAAGCTGCATTTCAGGTTTCCTTGGCCTCGACGGCCGCCGGCGCGACCTCTTCGGCCTGACCCTGCGGGCACCGAGTTCTCCGGAGCTGCAAGAAACCGGCCCAGTGAGCCAGAGAGGGCGCCAGGCTGGAAGAACCCAGCCGCGAAGCCGCGGCCTGTGGGCTGAGACTTCCCGCGACCGTCCGCTTGGGCCGAAAGTAGTCCCAGCATGCAAACCCTTTGAACTCTGACTTGATTGCCCTTCCCTCACGTCACTCTGCCAGATTTGTTGCAGGCTGCGCAACACGACATGCGGCTGATTTGACCGCTGTTCGCACTTTGCAGATTCAAGCATCGCTCCTTGTGTACAATGGCGCGGGAGATTCACTAAATGAAAACCGCTTTTCCAGCCTTGGATCCTGCGCAGCCTGTGGAAACTTGAAGCGAACGCTGCGAAGCCAACAGCGCTAACTGGCACTTCTGGGTTTTGATGGCACTGGTAGCATTCGGTTTGCTAGCTGCGTATATGGAGCAGTTTGGTCTCGCCGCGTCTAGCCAGCTACGGCTGCGAAGCGGTGCTACGGCATTGACAGTTTGCTGTCCGCCGGCTTTAACGATGCATTCAGTGTACGGCTTGCAGGCACTGCCCGGCTGTCATTGCCTGCATCGATCGCTTAAACAGATTCTGCAAAGCACTCTAACGTAGGGGATGGTATCGGGTTTGGCTGAAGGGGACAGAAAGGTTCATCTGTTCGTTCTTCCCCAGATGGAGATGCTCAATACGCATGGAAGAGCGGAGCAAAATGACACCTAGAGCGTTCTACCAGGTGGACATGAAGTTTGTGAACTGTGAAATTGAAATAGTGGTAGCTGCACAACACCTCTCCCGAGGCATGACCTGCAATGGTCGCGATATGTCGCGATATTGTCGCAAAAAGGATAACGGCAAGAGTAGAAGCGATCATGACATGACAACCAGAACTGTCACCAAATACTGTTAACCATGATAACACCAAGTAAGGTATAAACAACGGTCACTGGAACAATCGCAACAATGATGATGCTGCTGTTGATGATCGCGGCGATGGTGTGGTAATGGTACTGCTGGCAGCCTGAGCATGCGAAGCCCTCGGTTTGCACTGGCTGATGATAACCTTACTGATTTTGGCGGCAGCACTAACGATGAAAACAATCGGTAGAAGTAGAACTGATGGCTGTCGCAATGCTGGCAGCTGCTGTGTTGGAAGTCCAAGGTTTTGCAACGCCACGGAAATCCAGTTCTGCCAGTTTTCAATGCCACCCTTGCCTTCATGAGCCGCAGCACATCACAGCACGCGAAACCCACACCTTGCTGAGCCATCTCGGGACCTGGCTCGAATCCAGCCATGGTCTGGCATGCGGCCATCAGCCAAAAACTCAACAAACTTTCCGCACCAATTCAAAATCTAGGGTGAACAAGCTGTGGTCCAAGCCCTTGACATGACTTTACGCTAGACCGGGCTAGGCGCGGCGTGGCTAGACTGAACTGCTTTCACACCAGACCATGCCAGACGTTTGGCCATCAATCGTATGAAAATGCTCCCTGAAACGCTGAACCGTAAACCCTCAGCCCTACCTGTACAAACTCCAAATCCCCAACCCCATACAAGCTTTGAGCACAATGAACTGAATGCATACAGATCAGTCGCTTTCTTTTGCCAGCGCAAACGGCGCTGGCGCATCAGTAACCTGGCGTGCTCCGCTTGTTTCGACGCTTTCTCGACCCCAATTTCCCCACCCCAGCCGTCTTCCTGTCTTTGTTTGTGTTGCTGTTTCTGTTACAGTCGCAGTCGCTGTCGCTGCGGCTGTGGCTGTTGCTGCTGTTGCTGCTGCTGCTGCTTTTGCTTCTAGGTTTTGCTCTTGATAAGGATGCCTTGGTTGTTTTGATTGTCGGCTTCCTTGTCGCCTTGCCAGCGTGCCTGTTTCAGGGGATCTGCTTGGGGCGAGGCATTTAAGATTGCTGGCGTTGTCTGGGGATCAGAATTTGGGGAACCCTCTCTCCCACCCCAACTCCATGCAACCCCAACCACCAGCAACCCCACAAACATCCCCGACCTTGAAATTCCCATCCCCGCCAATGTCCACCATCAAAAGGCATGACACATCAGTCAAGCAAACAAGCGACCAGCTTCAAAAAATGAAACAACATGCAACAAACAACAAGCACAAAACCACCCCTAACCTTCCCAAACCAGAACCATGCACAACAAAAACGATTCACCGACCATCTCAAGCCCTTCCTACGAAAACCTAGGCGCCAAAACCTTCCAGCTCTGATTCATGAGAACCCAAAACCACAACCATGGAGCTGGACCTCCACGCCCCTGGCTGCCGAGGCAGCAGAACAGGAACGACGTGAAAAAGGACCAAGAGTTTCCGTTGGTCTTGTCCGAGGCGTTGCCATCCGTATTGCCCAAGCCCACGTTGCTGGTACAGTGTCCGGACGCACCGATGACGGGGAAGCTGCGAAGGGCCACTTCATCCTCCTCGCATGCATCATGATGCATCTCACGAAATTATCAAATAAGTCCGCGGTCTGCAGGGCGGAGCAAAGCAGAAACAACAATCACATTGGGCCAAGCTTGGTCAGCTTTTGATTGCAATACCATCAATGACACTCAAGCGCCCCGATCCTGTGAACACGACACGTTCACCGGCGCGACCTGCATCTGTGCTTTCAAAAAAGGCCAGCCTGTAACAAAAAAAGTGATATGCTACTGATACTGCCAATCGTGCAATGGCGCTCAGTCAGCAGCATCCTCGTTCGTCTCGCCCGCTGGCACATGTGTCTTCTTGTCCTGCATAATGCTTGCGGTGATGTTTGCGGCAGTGCTGATGGTCATGGCAATGCATGGAGGATGGCACGCGAGCACGCGATCCTCTGTGAAATCTGACAACCTGTGCCCTGAAGCAGGAACTCCCGCACTGCCTTCGTCTGCTTATTGCTAGCCTTCCTTGTCTCCTGGTCAGTTGCCAGCGGGATGAAGGCTGTTTGTAGGAGGGTTACACCAAGTCATGTGAATACGAACGCAACGTAAGGTGAGGCAAGTGCGCATGAAGCTTTGTTTGCTGTCTCCCAGCATTAAACCCTGTGACGGCAGCCCACCTTCTTAGCCTGCTTGGCTTCTTCCTTTGCTTCTTCTGCCTGCTGGGGCATCGGCCACTGACTAGTACACAGACTCAGAAGCTATACGCAGGCTCGATGCTGGCCGTGAGTGTACTCTTGACCACGTGAGGAAAATGGGCCATGCTGTCCGAGCAGTCATCTGCAGTACTTGAGAGTCCTGGTAGGCAGCTTCTGCAACTCGCTAGCTTCAACATCTTTTCAAACACCTTGCGTATATGCCCCCGCACCCTATGCGTTCGACATTTTGAGCGCCTGCGCCTGCTTTTTTTGCAGGAAGTCCTTGCGGGCTTTTTCATTCTTGGCCTGCATCTCCTGCATGCATCGCCATGATCCACTGCATCCCGGCATCTCACGAATCTTGGGCCTTCATCTTCAACTTCTTGGTTCCGGGCATGTTGCCTGCAAGCCAGGAAGACGCTTAGAGCAAGATTTTGGTTGTGATGTTTCGTGCTCGTTCCAAAAAGGCACAACGTCAAGAGGCATAGTTACATTCCACGTGAGCGGAGGTCTGAGACAAATACTGACTCCAAGGAGGCTTCCCTAGGTTTTAAGCTTCCGGAGGTTTTGGGTTCAGTGTTTCTTCAACAGGACACCTTAATTTGCAAGGGCTAAGCTTAAAGCAACCACGCCAGCATGTTGAATTCAGCCAGGCACGACCTTCGATAACTTGCCCACATCAAGCAATACCTTTCTCTGCTGTCGGGGCAAAAGGTTCATAGGGGAAAGTGTATTTGGTGCTGCAGGTGTGTGTGTGTGTGTGTGTGTGTGTGTGTGTGTGTGTGGATGTGGGCGTTCCATTGTTGCATTCACTTTTGTTGCGGTTGCTTGGCGCCTCTCTTCTTGTGCGGTGCAGGGTACAAAGTGTAGGGCGAAGTGTGCTGAAGGATTCAGGGGGTAAGGCTGAGGGCTACATAAGGGATTTTGAGGGTTGAGGATTTCAAGGTTCGCTTCTTGGGGATGCGTGTCTTTGGGGCTTGAGGGTTCATGGAGGGTTTGGGGACTGGGGCTGTGGTTGATGTGCTTTGGGGCTTAGACTCTTAGAGCCTGCGACTACTCTGAAACTCACTGTGTTGCTGGTCGCATCACTGAGGACGGGGCCTTGGTTTCTCACCCGACGCATCTCCGACATATGCGCTGCGATGCCATCGGCCCGCTCTTTGTTGAACTGCTTTCGCTCCTCACAAAGTTTCACAGGACCATCAACAATCAGACGTCTGAACTCCATGGCCTCTTTCGAGACAGGCTTCCCAGCTGGCTTCCGCCTGACATTACGTTGAGGGGAAAGCCATGGCCAAGGCAGGCTTACGGCACGTCTCAAGTTCTCGGTGGTTGTTGTTGTTGTTGCTGATGTTGCTGTTGTTGCTGTTGTTGGTGTTGTTGTTGCTGCTGGTGTCGCTGTTGTTGCCGTTGCTGTTGCTGTTGCTGTTGTTGCTGCTGCTGCTGTTGCTGTTGCTGTTGCTGTTGCTGTTGCTGGTGCTGGTGCTGCTGCTGTTGTTGTTGTTGTTGCTGCTGTTGTTGTTGCTGTTGTTGTTGCTGCTACCAAGACATACCAACTGCTGTCGTTGTGGTTGTTCTTCTTCTTGCTGTTCTTCTTGTTGCTGTTGTTGTTAGTGCTGCTGCTGCTGCTGTTGTTGTAGTTGTAAGCCCTATCAGCTCAAATCTGCCCTTTCCCCGCAAGCCTTGGTGTGCGTCTGACTGCTTCTGCTGTTTCTGTCGCTATTTGGCTATCTGGGATTTGTACAACCTGGGGATCGCACAACGCTGACCTGGTCCCACTTCCAGGACGTTTCAACATGAATGCTAAGGGTGAGGGTTCCTGTAGATCTGCACTGCAAGAGGAGTCACGTTCACGCGGTTAAACAAGAGCGGATGGCAGCAACATAAGGAAGAAGGCCTATAGATTGGCATGTGGCAAAGCACTAAGGGGAACCAGCACCAGTCCGCATCGCGAAGGAGCAGTCAAGCAAGCAAAGCAGAGTCTTCAGATGTGCACGGGAGAGAAACAACCTCCCGAACTCGCTCAACTAAGTTTACCCAAACAAATAACACGTCTAAGCCGGAAACAAAAATAGGCAGAGCGCAGCAGAAGAGGGGAGGAGCATACCACAAAATCTCTTCGTATGATGTCGTGGAATGTCGGAGGAATGAGCCACTCTCAGAATCCCATAAGGACAGTAATAATAAGAATAACAAGAACAATGCTGGAATAATATTGTAAACATAAGACGGTGGGTGCTCGATTTGAGGCAATCCACCTGTCGTCGGGGCCGCTCGCCAGCACCGCATAGGCGTCAAGGATCATCTTGAAGGCCTTGCTGCCAGCTGTTTGGGCACCATCTGTTCATGCTCTTGCCCTGGCCTCCTCAGCACCCTCTGACTGGCATTTGTCTGGGTGGATGAGTCGAGCCAAGCGCCGGTAAGCCTCAACACGTATGCATTTGGGGACCTGTCAAAGGACAGAGGATGATGATCGGGCTTCGGCCTGCTTTATGTCAACCTCGCTGGCAGAGTTGTCAATGCCTGCCATACGTTCAGATAACCGGGGTGCTACGTGCTAAGGCACTAACACAAGCCTAAAACGGCGAAGTAGTCCACAGTCTGCAACTTCAAGATCCGCACGATCTCGCTGGCCATGTTGCTTCAATGGCAGCTAGAGCTGCCACGACGTAATCAAGCTCTGTGCCAGTACTCTCATGATGTGCACAACACGTGTGGGTGGGAATCATGATGTCTCTTCGCGTTGCCTGATTTCCCACATGACTGGCACTAAGGCTGCATAATCTGTCCATGAAGTGACTGCGACTGCAATGTCCTGAGCCCTCTGAACAACTCATCATGCCCAATGGTTAGGTGTGCATGCGTCTTGTTTAGGGCGTTGATGAGGAAGGTTTGAGCAGCAACAGCTGGCAACGCGAAGATCCCTGGTCGGCAACCATATAGCTGACTGCCAACGAGAGAAGCACATGAGCCACCCGAGCCGCAGCCCTCGGTACATTCACATGTTCATCTGAGGATGAGCTTCAACCTGCCATCAAACTGTGCCTCCCTTGTACTTCCATAGAAACGGACTGCTATGCAAACACATGGACAAGGTCCGTCATCTGGCCGTTGTCACGTAGGACTCTGCAAAAGTGTGACGAGATCGACCTTTCACCCGCGGACCAGCAGGTGCAGAAAGCCCCGCGATGTAGCTCAACAGGCTGACAATGCGATGCTTGTTGGAAACACGATTCCTGCTGACCGATATGGGGAACATTTCGAGGAACATGTCACGTTCACACGGTCGTTTCAGTGACATCTGCGACTTATCTATCAGAGCAGAAGCTGATATTCGAACTGCCCTTGAACCACATAGCTGGGCATTCGGGCTGAGACACACCCGGAGCTGTGGGCAGGCGCGATGACTTGACATTTGACATGATCTTTGGTCTTGAATGGTCCTAACCCCATTTCAGACCTCCGATTTCCTGAAACTCAAGGGTCACCATTCCAAACCCCCACGAACTGAGGGGATCAAAATCCTTTGTTTCCTGCTCAGCCTCTCCCCAACGCCGTGGCACCCACCCCGCACACCACCCCCTCGCACCACCGCCTCTCCACCCCCCGCCCCCAAGCTCCAACCTCCACGCGCGCGCGGAACGACGTATATGGAAGACGCTCGGGATTCGGGCAAACCTCCACAACAGTCCTCTGTGGCGTGCTTCTTCGCTGTGCTTCGTTTTCCTGCTGGCAAGGGATGCACAAAGGAAATCCGCGAAGGCTCGAGCACAGGGGCCTGCACGATGGGATTTGTTCGGAGCTTCGTCCTTTGCGTCTTTTGTTTTTGAGCGGTCCTGAGCGCAGGGTTCCGGAAGATTGAATCCCCGAGTCTGCTGTTTACCTAGTTTTAGGCAGCGAGCAATTTACGTAAAAAAGCTTGGATGACACGCCAAACTTACGTCAATAATTACGTAAATTTCGCATGTAATTTTTTACACTGCAAGTGTAGAAAAAATACACTGCAGCGTAACAAAATCTACAGTGCAATGTATTTTTTTACAGTGCAAATTTCTGAATTTGAAGAAGGGAAACGATGGCTAATGTTGGTTGTTTTTGGATCTGTTGTCATAAATGTGCTTCTTGATTGCATAGGAATTTCCTGCGGCGGCAGTTCGGCATGGTCATTTGTCAAGGCAAATTCTTGCGACTTGTGCCAGCAACTTGTGAAAGGCCATGTGGTTTGCTGGGTCTGGCAATGTCTGGCAGGCGGCCTGCGCGAGTCTTGTGGTTTGCATGCGAGAAATCGATGCATGTAGCTAGACCCTTGTAGGTTACATGCGAGATATCCAGTTATATATACCCGTGAGATCCGAGAGTGAGAAAAATTTTCGGAGTTTGCAGCAGTGTCGCAAGAAGGGCAAAGACACAAACAAGGAGAACAAGGAGAAAGACACAGCCAAGGACAGCAAGAAGAGGAAGTTCGAGGAGAATTGGGCCGATGGCTTCGATCAGCCTGCCGATAAGAGTCAGGAGGAGCAGCCCGAAGAGGAGACTCCCACAGACGACGAAAAGATCGCGTTTTCGCAGGGGCAGATAGGGGTTTTTGCAGGGGCAGATAAGAGTTTTCGCAGTGGCAGATACGAGTTCCATATGTTTTCGTTGTGTGTTTGTTGTTGTTGTTGTTGTGGTTGTTGGTTGTTGGTTGTTGGTTGTTGGTTGTTGGTTGTTGGTTGTTGGTTGTTGGTTGTTGGTTGTTGGTTGTTGGTTGTTGTGGTTGTTGTGGTTGTTGTGGTTGTTGTTGTTGGTGGTAGTGGTTGTTTGTTGTTTGTTGTTTGTTGTTTGTTGTTTGTTGTTTGTTGTTTAATGTTTGTTGTTTGTTGTTTGTTGTTTGTTGTTTGTTGTTTGTTGTTTGTTGATTGTTGTTTGTTGTTGTTGTTGTTGCTGCTGCTGGTGTTGTAGGTGTTGTTGTTGTTGTTGATGTTGATGATGATGTTGATGTTGGTGATGATGTTGATGTTGATGTCGATAATGATGTTGTTGTTGTTGTAAGCTCGCGAAATGTTTACGTAATTTTTCGTTGTTTACATGAATTTATTGGTTCACAGTAAATTGAACCAAAGTGTAAAAATAGGTAAACAGCAGACTCGGGGAAGCCCTCAAGCAGGCCCCGCCTCGGTTTTGAACACATAGTGGTACTCTTTGCCACCTCTCGTGCGACATGGGAAACTTACCTTACCAGCCTTAGCATGATAGGCGCGCCGAGCCTTGAGTCGCCGGCTGCATAATGGCACCAGGCACGAGGAAGAGAGCAAAGCAGCAACTCGGATGCGCGAATCCTCGGGACTGAAGGTGATGTGATGCCGTTTTGCATAGCCGTCCGTGAGTGAGTGAGTGAGTGAGTGAGTGAGAGAGTGAGTGGGTGAGTGAGAGAGAGAGAGAGAGAGAGAGAGAGAGAGAGAGAGAGAGAGAGAGAGAGAGGAGCGAGATAGGCCGGTGCATGCGTTGACAGGCATGTGTCTCTGCCAGCGTGCATATCCCTTCACACGTCACGACCCGGGCGGCGCGACGCCTACATAGCCTCTAGGGGCACTTTTTGTTCTCGTAGATCATCTTCAGCTCTTCTTTCATGTCCTTCAGGGGTACCACGTGCAAAGCAATATTCCCGGCAGGAGGGGAGCACATGGTCACCTTTCGCTTTTACCCTCTTCTAACCTCCGCCTCAAGCCCCAAGCATCATCCTTTGATACACTTTTCAGTCGCACCATCATCGCTGCCAGATGCTTGACGGCTGAGGTACAGCTTGAGCCTCGCCGCCCTTTTCAGCAGCTCGGAGGATGAAACTTGCCAGCGATGGTTGCGAGGCTAATCGCCGAGCAAACAGTGCTGGTAGCAATCCACGTCGCGCTGCGGCAGTCCTGCGGTTCCATTCTGCTGTCTTGTTGCAGCCAATTCGAACTCAATCTTGTGTGTTCCTGGCGAGCAGCATGCGAAGGTGAAGGCGACGGAGCCCTGCGCCAAAGTGGACAGGGATCCATGAAGATGTGACGTAGGAAGCGTTGTTGGTAAGCAAAGTAGGCTAGCAGCAAGCAGATCAACATCAGACATGAAACCATTTGGAAGTATCTGCATCTCTAGAGTTGTGACTCCGGACAGAAGCGTTCTAAAAACCATGTCCGGCCCCATCTGATCACAGCGGGCACGGCATGCCTCGCCGACAGCGGATCGTAGACAGCATAGTTCGGTTGTGCAGCTGATATGGGGGAGACTGCAGAATCTTATCCACCGAGCATACACGTCATACATGTCCATGCCTTGCTGCACCACTGACTTGTACATAGCCAGCAGTAGCAGGAAAGACTCTCGTCTCAGCAATTCCCAACCCGAGGTGCCTGAAGCTCGGCACGGCTGCACGGGCCTCATGCCGGAGGAGCTTCACGAAAGCGCCGATCTGGAGGCGCCTGGACCAAATTCGGGCTTTGGGGGTGGAGCTACTCTTCCTTCCGCTTCTCTGCACATTCCTCATTTGCTTCTGTAACCGGGCCACCTGCGAAGCACCCTCGTCCAGAAGCTGCAGCAAAGCATCGCGGTGCTGGTCTGCACTGTCCTGGCTCTCTGCAGTGCGATGGAGCACGTTTCATGGAGCTGCACACTCGGCTAGCCGAATTCAGATGTAGGCTGCAGGGCTTCGCGATCCATCCTTCCCACATCAGCACAAGCAGGCGTCAAGGGAGTTCCAGCAAGGAGATCCCGATCCCACCAGTCCTTCGTCGCGGCTGGAACCTCCGAAAAAAAAGGAGGGACGCTTGCGTGTCATCGGCTCCGACTCCAGGCATCTCTGCATCTCTTCGCCTCTGCCTCCCCGACCTCACCCTCGGTTCCCGAAACTCAGAGACCCGACTTGAAAGAGACTTCAGCCCAGCTGCCATAGACAGAATGCCGACAGCTACCCAAAAACGAGCGCTGCGGAAAGCTGGTGAGTGCCTGGGACCACTCCACGGGGTGGAGGCGCCGGCGCTTCTCCGCCCGGTCCTGGCTTGAGAGAAAGCTCTGTAAAGGCTCCTCTCGATCCGGATTAGAGCCCGAAGCCTGTCTTCAAGCACGCCGCACGGGCTGGGACAGGGCTTCGAGACCTTGAATCCGGAATGAAAGGGAGATGCAAATCAACGCCGAGACCTGACATCCTTCGGTCAAGAGCTCCGAGTTCCCCCAAGAGCATTGCAACCGTCGTCAGCTGCCAAGGTCCTCGTAGAGAGTCTCCCTGCGCAGGGCATCATTCCTGGCGTGCCCGACGCCCGCATGAGGCTGGCAATGTGGCTTGGAAGATGGGCCCGGGCTCCAAACTCTCCAAGAGCCTTGAAACATCGGATCCAAGGGGCTACTGGCTCTGGTGCTTCACGGAGCCCCCAAATTTTCCCCCTGAGCCCCGAAGATAGAGGCGCCTCTCGCCGACGGAGGCAGCCGCTGCCGGGCCGCAGATGATGCCTCGGAGCGTCAACGCAAGGCCAGGCTTTTCTTCTCGAAGTCGCGAAGTTTGCGGCAGTTTGGGGCTGCGTTTGCGGCAACCAGCGCTACAGGGCCTTCTCTGCCACTGCCAGCGGGCATGTCTGTCTGGTCTTCCTGCTTTGCCAGATTCTGCAGGAGCAGCATGACTGTATGTAGGAATGCTAACCGCGAATCCTAGGACTAGGAGCGATACTTTCGGCAAGTTCGCTTCTGCCAATTCACAAATTCGGCTCTCCGCGCAGGGAGCCTCATAAAAAAAAACACGAGGCTTTATCAATTATCAAGGTTTAGGGTTTAGGGTTTGTTAGGAGTTAGGGGTTAGGGCTTAAAGGTTTAGGGTTTGTTAGGCTTTAGGGTTTAGGGTTCAGCAGACAAGATGGAAGGGTAAGGAAACTGTCACACAGATGTTGCTTTAGGGTTTAGGGTTTAAGACTTAGGGATTTAGAGTTTGTTAGGGTTTAGGGTCTAGGGTTCAGTAGACAAGATGGAAGGGTAAGGAAACTGTCACACAGATGTTGCTTTAGGGTTCAGGGTTTAAGGCTTAGGGTTTGGGGTTTATAATATAGGTGGGCGCGGGTAGGTGTAGCGGCAAATTCAGATCCTCCACTCTGGCTCAAGCGATTTTGCAGTGCCGTCGTGGCCGTGGGCGTCTTGAGGCCTCGTGGGTTCTTGCAGGGCGACCTGCAGGGGTGAGTTTAGCGCCCCGCCGCTCTCTGATGCACAGTGCACTGTTCTAAGGGGTTCAGCAGAGCGGCGACGGGAAGCCAGTAAATTTCAGATTGGTACTTCGTGCCTCTACTCACCGGCAAGAAGAACGCCAACGCGCAGGACAAGAAGGGTCACGAGAGGATGATGATGAGCGCGACTGAAGGTGCGGTGGCGGTGTGATGGTGCGGCGGTGGTGTGGTGGTGATGGGGATCATGGCGGTGATGGTCCCTGAAGGCGACTCTTTCGGTGAGTCCCAGTCCCAGCGGCGGCGCAAGGCGCGATTCAGCTCCCGGGCTCGCGCTGAGCCGGAGAGCGCTGGTGGAGGCAGCTCCTGGGCAAAGGCTGTCGCTGCAGTTCGAGGGCTTGGCGGTTTTGGGGGTTTAGAGCTTCGGGGTTTGAAGGTCAAAGGATTGAGGGATTTAAGGGTTTAGGGGTTGTCGGATTTATGATGTAGGACTTCGATTCCCTCTAGCTCTTGCGCTCTCAACTTCTGGGGGTCTGTGGTTCCATCGGATCTTGACACCTCGCTTGGAAGCTCCTCCTCATGACGGGCCACGAAGCCCTTCTCCAACACCTCGGGACGGCCGCAGATCTCCGATCTCGGGTGTAAGGCTGAAGATTTTGTGGGACTCTGCCGAAGGCTCTTTGAAAGTCACTCTACGATTGTTTGCAGATCGGCGGCTCATGTCAATGTGAAGATTTAATCACCGATGCCGCCATCTAGGATCTAGCTGCAATTTCTCGACAATGCCGCTGCCAATACTACGTGATTGTTCGTCGAAACGCACATCCTTGTTCGTCGAGTACCCTACGACGAAAAGGTTCCGTCACGAGAAGCACTCCGAAAACCGCATGCACCGCTCGCCTCCCTTCGCAGCCCAGGGGCAGCAGGGCATTGCCCGCCGGTGGAGGATGTTGTCGGGGTGGGTCCTGCAAGGACGTCGCGATTCTCCGCAACACTCCCCGTCCTGCCACCCCGAGAGCACATAATCACTCACACGGCCATTAGATGCAGCGTCCATGCTCAAGGCTCTTGCCTTGCCTGGGCGAACGGAGTCGGGCGTCTCCTCGTTGGAATCAGCAAACTGCCACCCCGCTTCCAAGCACCCAACTGCTTCGTGCTCTTGCTCGAAAGCTGCGCCAAGCGTCGGGTAGGTCCACCCGCAGCTCGGCCAGTGCGCCCAGCCGCAGCAGGCTCCCATGCTTCAGCAGCAGAGAACCTGGCATCCCAGGACTTGGGACCGGGCTTCGATTGCACGATAGCTTCGTACCCGATGCAGCTTTCAGTGTGGGCCGAATCGCAACCAGGTTGCTTTGCTCTGCGTCAGCTCTCTGGCCATCTACCAGGATCTCAGCATCGGGAAACACCTTTCACGGCACAGTGCTCAGGCGGGAAGAAGAAAGGAGTTGCCCTGCTCCCGACGCCTTCCAAACGATCCCCCAAGATCAAGACACGGGAAATCCCGCGAAACACAGCCTAGGAGTACGACACCCATCCAACCTCACAGTCTTTATGCTCTCGTCCTGCACGCGCGAACGTAGCTGCCGTGCCTCTTTCACTGTGTCATGTGTGTTCCTCGGCGGATGTTGAACGCGTGAGGCCCGGATGTCGCCTCCACATACCAGCCGCCCCTGCCGTGTGCCAGGCGGGCATGCCGTTGCCGGATTTCAGGACCCGGCAACTCCCAGAAGGGTGCCTTCAAGGGCTTCTGCTGATCTCTCGCTCGCTGTTTCAACAGGGACTGCGCAGTACTCACATCTTCTTGCTAGCAATCAGCATGGTTCGAAAATCTAGGAATTAGCAAACCTCATCGGAAGCTGCCGGGAAAAAGGTTCGCGACTGGCAGTGACGGGAACAGCCTGGCATGCCATGCCTGAAAAGCAAGCAAAAAAAAAGCAAACCCTGACCCCGGTACTGGCCCTAAATCCTCGTGACCTCGCCAGCTGCCGCCCCGTCGTTGGAAGCCGCACTCCCCAGAAGCAAACCGCGATGATCCTGAGAACAGGCGGCGGGGGCGGCTCAGATCTTTTCTTTGTCCTGAAAGCATTCGGGCGTAGGGTTTGTAAGGATCAAGCCTCAAGTCTCTTTGCTTGGAGCATCGAAAACAACCTCGCCACTCCATCTCTGTTTCATTCAGTTACCTAACGACCCATCAGCTGACAACCAGCGCTCCCTCAATTGCACCGGGCGTCCACGAGCCGCGCGCTCTGTGGATCGTCTCGGTGGCTGAGAATCGCCAGAGGGCCCTGTGCCGCCCACAGGGCCTGTGTGCAGAAGTGGCTATGCTCCAGGATTGAAGGCTTTTCGGAAGGGTGTGCACACCGATGCAGGGTGAAGGCAGTTGAATCAGTGAGGAAGACAGGGTCTGCAGCACAGGTAGTCTGGATACAGTAGGAGGCTACACTCCGAGTTTTCACCCTACTTCTTGCCTGAGTCATCTTGCAAGCAGGCGGTTAGGCATTGCACTCAGCTGGTTCTCTGGAGAACCACCCACAGGCTTTCCGAATCAGAATGAAGACTCAAGAATAGAAAGGCCCTCGAACACCAACTGCGTCAAAAGCCCACGGGTGCAAGCCGCCTCGTACCGAGGCGGCGTTGAGGCGGAGCTGTCAAGAACACGGCAGGCTCAGGGTGGGAGGTTGGTTCATGCTTGGTTTCCGGAGCAGCTTCGTAGGTGGGGGTGTATCGCCCCGACCCCACAAGTGCACATCCACGGAGCTCCCTAGCATAAACAACCCTTCTACGGATTGGCAGGTTGAAGCCCTGACACGCAGACTTCATCAATTCGTCTACCATATCAAGTCACAGAGAAAGCAAAGTTAGGCATACGCACCATGCCAGGCGCTGCGGTAAGAGCAACCGAGCATCAAATCCGAAGACCTTGCTTTTGAAACTTCGGGGCGGGGGCCTGCCGCTGCTCTGTCCAGGCAGGTACTCCTTGGCAGCGTGAGGGGAAGGTGCCGGACGGACAACGTGAACACCACACCGCTAACACACTGCAGCTCTGGAGACCAAGAACAAGATGCAAGCAGAACTGCTCCGGCCACGCAAGGATGAGATTCTTGCATCACTGTGCTTCAACGCCACATTCAAAGACGAAGCCCAACTCAGCTTGAGGCACGTAAAGTACACCCGCCGTCTCTGACCACAGGAACATTCGACCCACCTCGCCATGATGCAGAGGCATGACTGCGTCTACGGCTATGCATCGCTTTCGCATTTCTGTTGAGCTTCGCGGATTTGCAGGGCACCTGCATGTATTGTTGAAGTATCCTCCTTTCTCCTGTGCTCGCGAAGGCTTGAGGTGTAAGGACAGAGCGTCCTCCGGGTTGTAGGAGATTGGACAGTACTGAGGACCTGGGATTGTGCCGTTCTGCATCTCAGGGTTTACGAAAGCTTCTACGGCTCTCCCGACTGCTATGCTTTCCTCCGATCCACACATCATCTGCGCCAAATTTGGGTAACTGCGGACACAAGTCAGATCTTCTGCTTATGCCATATTGCTTCTTTTCATCTTTTCTTTCTGGCATGGGGCTTCCTGCAAAGCCCTGCCTCTCATTGTGGGACTCTATACGGCACAATATTGCTAGTTCCTCGGACCTGGTGCGTTTTTCACCACTCCAGGCGTCGAGCCTCGGCAGCCCAATGCGTGAAGTTGCCTTGGCCCGCGTCCGTCCAGAGCTCCTCGAGCTTGGAGTGTGGATCTTGGGGGTTTTTGTGGTTTTCGGGGTGTTGGGGTTTTGGGGGCATAGGGGTGAGAAGGTTAAGGGTTTAGGGCTGAGGGTTCAGGTTCAGGAGCTCGTACCGATATGGAGGGAGAGCGAATGCGTCTTGCGTGATTAGCTTCCTACTCTCTGCAGCCCCGATCCAGGAGTTGAAAATCGCTGCACCCTTGAGGGTCCCAGCCTAATCACGCCAATTCCGACCCATAAACCTCGAACAACTCTACTTGATTGCTGATGGCTCCGATTACGATGTGCCCCCAAGTTCGCCCTGCACCGCCTCGTCTTCCGACATGTTCGCCAAGGCCGCAACCTTTGCAAGGCTGACAAGTCTGCGAATGCCGGTCGAACCCTGCAACCGCCGAGGTCCTTGGGTTCAGGACGGCGGGTGAAGTTTGATGCAGCTCCTGGTGCACTCTACAGGCATGGAAGCCAAGAACCAGGGCTGTCGAAGTTCCTACCACCTCCTGCCATGAGCCGGTAATCGACATGGAGCTCGACGCCAGAAGCCAAGCCCCCAAGGCGAAAGCCAAAGTGAAGCGTAGTCGCCACTCCACTCCATCGAAGCCCCTAAGCCCTAAGCCCCAATGCTGTGCAGGTTTGTGGGAAGCTGCACGGAGAGTGCAGAAACCAGTCATGGCGAACAAGAACACAAACAAGTCGTCGTCATGAACCGATGTACCAGGACATACAGGCAATGCCAGAAGAAAGTATATATGAAGGACAAGACAAGCAAAAGCGCTTACCGTTTCTCGCAGTGGCACCACGACAACACTGCATCGACAAAGATACTTTTTGCTAACCTGGATGCGAGACAAGCACCATAAACCACTGGTGTCGGTGTAGCTCATATTGGCGACGATGTCACACGCATGATACTGGTGACACTTGAACTGACAAATCAATGTGCAGCCTTGACCCTCATCGCTATTCTGGAAAAAGCTAAATGCACGAGACGTCAAACCGATAAACCCGAAACCCCTAAACTCCTCAATGTCCAAGCACTCTTCTGGACAAGGTACATGCCAGTCACCATCCTCCGCCGGCGGAGTGGCCTGTGGCTCCAAAAACCCCTCTATGAGTCCGAGAAAGGATCCTCTGTGACTTGCTACTTGCAGCAAGCGCCTGCAGGGTTCAAAGGGCATGAAACTCTGGCAAAACAATGAGCAATGAGCAGGAAGAGGTTATCCAGGAGGACTGTAACCACCTACGTCTTGCAAACTGACACAAAAGCAGCTCTCTCCAAGGCATCGCACCTCTGCGGCCGAAGACCTCGTTGGCTAAAGGTCTGTTGAGGATTCCCGAGGTTCGAATCTTCGTGAAGCCACGTGTACGCCCATACAAGTGTAGCACACAAAATTCGAAGGCTTTTGTGGTCCCTCTACTCCTCTAAAACAGCGCTTAAACTGTGTTGCGATGCTGCCGCTGCCGCTTCGACGCACCTCGAAGTCTGACATTTTTGAGAGCTATCGTTTCCGAGAATGCTTGAAGCATGTTCCATGCACGCCGCACGCTGCTGACTAAATCTTGGGATGGCGGACACCATAGACGTATTGGCCCATGGGGTACAGTGATTCGATGCAGCTTTATTTCGATTACTCCTGCACCTTGCCGTTCTGATTCACGTATGACTCGTGCTCCCGTTTCAGCCCTCTGCTGATCATGTTAGTGTACCTCTGACCCAATGTCGATGTGGCAGCCAGGGCTGCCCTCAATTCGCGTCTTTCGCAGACTCGTTGCCGTGTCGGGACTATATAAAGTTCCTCGCGGGCGCTGTGGGCTTTGGGCTTTAAACCCTCAAGCTTGCGGCTCCGGGTTTCCAAGGCCAAAGGACCCAAGGAGCCCCGCCTTGCACTGGGCGCGGTCTCTTCGCAGCCGTTGCCGAGATCCTCCGGGAGCTCCTTCTGCGTGGGCAATGTTGGACATTGTGCTTGCTGTCGAGTTTGGGGGTGACCGTGTGGAACATTATCAAGCCAGATCCGCGTGCCTGTGCGGTTCGTAGCATGTCTAAAAGCAATCAGCATCTGGAACAAAGCACCCCCACATAATAAAAGCCACAAACTCGACCGCAGTGAATTATCGGTTCGCATGAATTGGAAAGTATTTGCCACAAAGGGCCACGTGCCCGAGCAGTCAAACACCACGTGGCCCGATGAAAACCTTTTACGGTTGACTGCCACCACGTCGACTTACAGATGACGCCCCCCTGAATCAACGCGACGCAGAACATCTACATGACAAGCCTGACAAGACCAAAGACGTTGCAAAAGTACCCGCAGGCCCCTGGAACAACGCGACCGAACACATCTACATGACAACCCTGACAAGACCAGAGACGTTGCCAAAGTACCCGCCGGCCCTTGGATCAACGCGATGCAAAACATCTACATGAAAAGCATGGCAAGACCAAGGACGTTGCCAAAGTACCCGCAGGCCCCCAGATCAACCCGGAGCACATCTACATGACAAGCCTGACAAGACCAGCGAAGTTCCTGCAGGCCCTTGGATCCAGAAACACAACCGATACCCAGTAGGTGCAGTGAATCGTCCCGCTGTCCTGATCCTCCAGCACGCCGGCATCGGGGCCTTCACGAGGCCTCAGCAGAAACATGCTACCGCCTGTCTCCCATAAAGTCTTGTACACATGGAGTCCACATCACTCTTCTCTTGTCCGCCGCCGTTCCGTTGTTAGAGTGGGAAATCCGTTAACTCCTCCTCCGAAGTTGGAGTCCTGAATCCAGAAATCCACTCAAATCGATGTAGACTAGGCCGCAAGCCCCGAACTGCGAGAGGGGAGAAAGCCTTCTGCAGTCGAAAGGCAGCTCCAGCCGCATCCTCTCGGCGGCCTCCTTCACCTCCGCCATGTCCGCATCCCCGAAGGCCTCGCAGGGCTCTTTGGGGGCTTCGCCCTGGTGGCCTTGGGCCTGGGGCTCTGCCATAACTCTGCCCATTCCACTGAAACATCGACCTTGCAGTGGTGTCCACTTCACCTTGTCCCAGCCAGTGCACAAAACGGCCCAACGAGGGTAGGACCATGTGACAGAGCAGAGCGCCTGCGTGAGCTCGTCGCGCCAGAAGAAGGCGCCATCCCCACCTCACTGGGAAGCCACGGAAAAGACCGACGGACTCTGATTTTATCGTACAAGTATGAGGCTTAAGTACGACTACAAGGTGGTATAACGAGGCTCAGGGCCTGCAGCTGTGGGGAAGATTGCAAGGCGCTTTTTGGGTTTATGGCGTTCGAACCAGGACTCTCTGAAAACTTCGGGAGGTGCCATGAAAGCAGATAGCTCAGATAACCGATTCTACTCCATAAAGTCTTCCGTCAGTCGCCTCCAACCTAAACCCGGCCTCTGAAGTAAGCGCAACTAATAAAACCACGTAGCCTCCCATACAACCCCTGCACCTGGCTTACCAGGTCCCATGCTCCCAAAGCCCAAGTTTCTGCACCATGGACAGGTTTGCAATAAACGCGTGAGCACGGGCGCCTTAATGTCCAAAAAAATCAAGGTTCGGTGGCATACGGCGGTATTGCGACGATAAGGAAAATCATTTCCAAGTGCTCACCCGCACGGAATTGAGGGTGATCTATGCTTCGGGGCTGAGGGCTCCCTCAACTTGTGATTTCGTTTCTGGTGCTCCCAAAACTTCTCTGAGCGGCTGTCGTAGTAGGTATCCAGCCACTCGCAGTACCAGAGTGCCAGGGCCTCGACTTGAACTTGACAGCAGTCGAGGAAACCCTGCCCCTGACATGAGAGCGTCGAAAAGGACAAGGACCCAGATAGACAGATAGACAACCTAAATAGCAACTCTCGTACCAAACAAGACCCCTTCAACGAGAAGCCCTCCTAAGAAACTCATGCCCGGGCCGGGCGGCACGGTTGTAGCGCCACCTCGGCCAGGCCGGTCTTCTGAACGAATGACTTCATCTTGCTACAAGTAGCTTCGAGTCTCGAGGCTGCGGGGGGGTTTTGGAGGGTTCTACCTTGGGGTTCATATATAGAACCCTATAGGGTAACTCCAAAAAGGAACTACTTTGGAGCTCGAAGCTGAAAGTGAACATTTTCTGCTCTCAAGTGCGGAAAAGGCCAAGCCGCCATGGGAGGTCTTCCACACGGCTCGGCCCACTGCCGACCTGCTTTCAAGAGGCCCTGAAACCTCAAACCCGAAGTCAGGACCCAAAACATGCCAACTAACTAGCTTGTAGGGCTAGCTGTAGGCCCCTTGTATCAAGTGCGCTACTACACAGAATCGCAGAACCGCAGAAGCACACACATGGCTCCTTGGCGGTCCCAAGGCGGCGAGTGGGGTTGGCACCGCCCAGGAACTCCCTGAAGAGGGTCTCCTGCCTCGGCTCAAGGCGACGCCCAAAACAAAAGCGAGAAACAAACGACACAAACAAATCCAACTCTCCCCTAAAAACCTATATAGACGTGCCATCGCTCTTTTTCAAGCTTTGTAACTTACCCTGTCTATAGGGGGCTTTAAGAAGGCTACCCGCCCTAAAGCCCAGGCGCACGGTCTCCAAGACGCTCATCGCCGGCTCCGGGCGCCCGCTTCGCCCGAAAGCGCTTCGGCCATGGCGGCGATGCCAAGACCAAACCCCCCCGGAGGGTTTAGGATTTAGGGCTTAGGGGTTTAGGGTTAGGTTTTAGGGTCTAGGGTTTAGGGTTAGGTTCTAGGATTCAGGGCTTAGGGTTTAGAGTTAGGTTTTAGGATTTAGGGTTTAACCCCACTGTCCTGCGGAGGGGCTTTTTGGCTGGGGGAGCTCTAAAGAAACGAAACTCCCTTCCTTGGGCTCTTTCCCCTTAGAGGCTCTTAGGCTCTTTCCCTCTCACCAGGGTTTCGAAAAAATCCCCCACCCCACCAAAGTAAAAATGATTCCGAACGGCTACCGCTGCGGCAATCGTAAACTGCAGGGCTCTTCGAAGCTGTGCGTGGCGGTCATACTCTGCTCATGTCCTGCGTGCTGTCCGTATCCCTGTCCCTCTTTCTCCAGGGTAGAGGAACACTCACCGAAACTCCCGCAGCTCGGACGCATAAGAAGCTCATAGGCAAACAGGGGGAGGCCCTCAAACCCCATAGGCCCTGAAAGTCCTTCAAACTCAACGCCCGCAAAAAAGCCCAAGCCCCAAGACAGCAAACCCCCACCCCCAAAAAAAAAGAAGCTCACGGCACACCCTGTTTTCCCGGGCTTTTCACGACGCTTCCGCGAACTCGCGCCGGTCGAAGTCGCGAGTCTGGGCCGCTTTGAACCAGCCCTGGTTCCTGGGATCAAACGGCACGAAGTCCCAATATAGCACCCTAAATAATAGCATCCTTCTTATAAGGACCCCAAAATAAGGTACCCATCTAACGGTACATGACGCAGCTTCTGCCCCTCGTGATTTTGGACTGTTGTATAAAACAAGCGGTTTTTGTGTTCCTTCCTAAAGGAATAAGCACACACACAAAGAAAGAAAAGAGCATCTTCATGAGCGGCCCTGGTTCGTGGGCTGCGTGAACTGGTACCCAAAGTAGTAGTCGTCCTGCAAGAGAGAGCTTTTGAGGGCTTCTATAGAAGGTTCTTATGGAAGCTTCTGTAGGTGCAGTGCAAACGTTTCGATGACGATTTCGCTGAGGGTGCTTCCAAGAATTCCTGCACCTTGGGCCCACAAAGGTGGTGGGAACGGCAGTGCTGCGAGTTTAGGGTTTTCAGCTTTAGCTGTTTTAGGGTTCGGAGTTTTCTGCTTCCAAGGCGGCCGAAGGCCTCGGTCTACTCTTAGCTTCTGTTGCGATGCTTGCAGAAGGATGCTCGGATGGACATTCCCCAAAACCCTCTGCCCCCTGGTTGCGGTAGGTCTTTTTCTATTCAGGGTTTCTTCAAGGCTTTACAGGTCATGCAAGAGTTGTAGAGCTTGCGAGTCTAGGTTAGTCAAAGATGCGATGATGTGGCAGCCGTACTCAGGAAATCTCTACTTCCTAAAAAGAAGGCCCAACAGCCCTACACGGATGCAGGCTTCAGGCGTGTGGAATTCCCAGCTGCTCAGGCAGAGACTCCAATAAAGGGGCCTTGAAATGGGACTTTGGGTGTCTATTCCATGACTACTTGGGAATATCGTCATTATTGCTAACCTGCATTCCCCCGCATGGCCTGTATGTGTGTCGCGACGATGACGGCACCATTCTGTATCGAGAGGTAACCGGCCTCCAGGACGAACGAATCCCCACAGGTCTAGACGCTTATGAAAGCTGTTTCCTCAGGTCAAAACATGGAAGAGGAGCGAAGTGAAGAAATGAAGGCGCCACGGAATCAACACCTTGCCCAGACACCAGCAGGCTCCCGGGATTCGTGCGACACGGCGGTCAAGATATGGAAGAGGAGCGAAGTGAAAGACGGAACTGACCGGGCAAGCCCTCACAGAAAATCTCGGGTCTGAACTCTAACCGTCAAAGACTGTCAGCAAACCGTCCTTATTCTCAGAAGCCAACAACAGTCCCGGAGCGACGCGAGTCGAGTCCGAGTCTCAAGCCACGCTCCATCCAAGCTTGCACTCTTCCCGACATGCGGGATTGTCTGCTGAAGATCTATCCGGCCATCCATCCATGCGTACATATGGTGCATACGGTGTTATATACGCAGCATATTCCAGAAGATGAGATGCCTGGACGCTGCCCACGATGTCTTGGTTGGCCTTGTCGCGTGGCAGTTGTTCGAAAACAGGGTGTTCGAGGTACCTGTAACGTATATGCTGGAATACACATAGGCCAAGATGACAGACCAGAAAATTGTGGCATGGGCAGGACGGAACCTGAATAAAGCGACTCCTTGAACCCTCCCACTCCACGTCTCTGAGGGGAATTCCGGGCGAACGAGACCCTCAGCCCTTGCCAATTCCGGTTTTGGGTCTCACAAGACATGAGAACTGCCGAGGCTTGGATTATGGGCTTTCCTGGTGTGTTGCTGCTTCTGCTCAGGCAGTGCCAGCACAGGAATCTCGGGGATAATAGGGGCCAGACGATCAGAAGGTGGGCAATGTGTGGAGTGATGGCGAATCGTTTGTCTATTATAGCCCTCTCAAAGCCACCACCCCTGGGCACGGTGCCGTGCGAAAGCACGGGGGCTTCTTGGCCTGGGCGACTTTGGCGTTTCGCTTTAGGTTCTTCAAGACTGTAGACTCTAGGCATCGCCCGTCGCTGCTGCCGGAGGGCCTAGCAGGACATACTCAGAACTGTTGGAATTTCAGAAGCCCCGTCCCTCCCGGCCTTCCATGGGACACGAGTGTCTGAGAGGCCTCTTCGAGCCCAAACCCTCAAGTCACTTCGGAGTTCAGGAAATTTAGGGTACCCTCAAAGCTAGACCCACAAGTTACAGCCTCGAGCCTTAAGCGCCTCAGACTCCCCTCGGCCGCCGGGGCACGTCGTAGGCACCCGAGGTGTCTCCTTGCCGCGGAGCGGCTGCAGACCTGGCGCCGGGGAGTTTAGGGGTTCAGGAGCTTATAGGATGGGGGAGCAGGGTTGAGGGTTTGCGGAATCAGGCTTCATCACGATTCGCCCGGCTTCCTGGTTTCGCTGAGTCTTGTTGATAATCTGGTGAGTTGTTTGTGGGCATGCTGCTGCTGCCGCCACTGCCACTGCTCGGAAGAGGTACTTTGAGACAAGTAAAGAGCATCGATCAATTCATTCCGAGCAGTCGTCGTCTTGAAGATACTGGAGGAGGCGCAAGAGGCACGAAGCCGTGAACAAAAACAAACTCAAGAGTGATAAGGAGTGGATATTGTGCTGTTGCTCCGACTCGTGGTCCTTTAAAGCCTCGGCTGTGGTCATTCTGGAGAACGAATGCCTCGCACAGCTTCCAAATCGCACACTTCTCGGACCGCGCCCTGGTGTTTCAGGAAGAACAATGCTGGATTTTGCCTTCCAGACAGCGACATGCATCGTAGTTTGATGAGGCTCCGCACGCGTGTTGACTCTGGATGCAGCCGAAACTGTTCGAGAATTTCCAGCATCCGGCCGACATCCCAAGGACGTTTTGGGCATGGGCAGCGGCGAGTTTTCGGGGAAGCGGAAGCCTGGGCCTCCGCTCACGTGCTGCAGAGACGGGCGAGATACGCTTTCGGGTGGTGGAGTCTCTGCCTTTCTTCGGCGAGAGACCGACTCCGGGACGGGCGCCTCGCCCCTGCCCCCCCCAAGCCGCATCTGAAAGATTTAATAAGCTGTAGACTGTAGAAGCACAGAGCGGCTTTGCTCGCTGTGCAGCTTTGGACGCGTGTTCGTCGGATGCCTGTGGAATGGCAAGGCCTCGCAGGGCCTGGCAGTGTTTTGCTAGGGCTGTTTCCTGAGTGTATTGTGCGCGAGCTGAACCCAGTAAAGCCCTTAACGAACCTTGTTGCAGCGCCAACCCGACAAAGCCCCTAACGAATCCTATCAGGTGCTTCATGAATGAAGGATGTTTGGCAACGGTGGTGTAATCACGAGGGCCTAGCCACCTTAATCATTCCATCATTTTAGGCGTCCGTTATGCTTTGTTTTTCAACTTAATCTTACACCCATTTTTTGCACATATTTTTGCACAAATTACCTTATTCGTTTGCACATTACCGCAACTCAAACATTTTTACAGACAGTTTAACACTGTGAATTTCATTTCTCCAGAACTATTTACATCGAAACTCATTCATAATCCTAACACAAAGATTTTACATTGTCATCTATCGTTTTTCATTGTCCAGGGTTTCAAATCTTGAAGTATTTTGATATATATTGTGTCATGTTTTATGTATAATATGATGTGTAGGTTTCTGTGGTGGCTTGTCTACATGTATAATGTATAATCATATTGTATATTAATATCATTATGAATGTTGAATTTCACTTGGTGTAGCTATGTTTCTTTATTGCTTAAGTGTTTCATTGTGATGTGCTTGTCTATGTTTTTGAACAGGACATTTACAAACACACTTTTTCTTATAGTTCTTTTGTAGTTCTTGCAATTCTTCTTTATGCTCTTGGTAATATGTTTTGATGCATTTGCTTATTTTGTTTTTGTTCTGCTTTCTATATCTCCATCTAGGGTTTAAACATTTATTACATTCAATGCAGTCAGGGTTATACATTTCAAATAACCAGCTTACACCACATTTACTGCAATTCTCAGGAAAATCATTTTCCATATTCATAAGGGATTATTTCTTTAAATGCTTTTATAACAAAGTTATTCAGAAAACTCACAATAGAATGAAGACACATATGTGCCCGACCGCATTCCATGCTCCCGACCACACTCCTTATGCTCCCGACCGCATTCCCAATGCTCCCGACCGCATTCCCTGTGCTCCCGACCGCATTCCCAATGCTCCTGACAGCATTCCCAATGCTCCCGACGGCATTCCCAATGCTCCCGACCGCATTCCCAATGCTCCCGACCGCATTCCAAATGCTCCCGACGCTCCCGACGGCATTCCCAATGCTCCCGACCGCATTCCCTTGCTCCCGACCGCATTCCCAATGCTCCCGACCGCATTCCCTACCGCCCTTGCGCCGAATCCCCGAAGGGCTCCGACGCAGGGCCAACACTCGTCCGACACTTCACAGACAAGCTGCGGTCAAAACACTGTGGGATTCAGAGCAAATGGGGGCTCGGCCTCGCAGTGGCCAGCTCTTGCTGGAGCTCCTGAGCTAAAGGCGAGGGCTTGTGAGGGTTTCGGGCAGGTTTTTGGGGGCTGCGGGTTTAGGGCCAGGGGGTGTCTCGAAGAGTACTGCTGGACTTTGCAAAACGCTCCAGGACTTTGCACTGCTGACGGACGAAGTCCAACCTTATCATGCCTCCTAACAACGCTTGTAGTCTTTCTTCCTAAGACCATATCATGGGCCCATTGATATAGGGACCTTAATAATTTTTCGGGGTATACTATACTATAAGTACAATAAGGGCCTCTAAGGCTTCAGAAAAAAAAAAAAACGGAACGGCGGAACGGCCGGGGCTGGGAGCCGAGGAGCAGCCTCGCGGGTCTCGGCGGCCGAAAGCCGCTCCTTTCGCGCTACGAGACATCTTGAAACTTATGGCTTCGGGCTTTAGAAATTCGGAGTTTAGGGTTTAGGGTTTAGGACATGTTGAAACTTAGGCCTTCGGGCTTTTAAATTCAGAGTTTAGGGTGGGATTCGCTTAAAGCCCTAGACCTGTAAGGGCGGGCTTCTCGGGCCTTTAGGGCCTAGGCTTTCTGCCTAGACTTCTTCTGGTTGTTCTAGATATCGGTTCTTGATCTTGCGCTTAGGGTTGCTATAGATCGTCACCTCATATGAACCGGTAGATCATCATAGTTGATGGTTCTTGCTCTCGTGGTGGTTGCGTTCGCGATCAGACGGGTGATTCTTTCATCAGATGATGATTTCGTCCTCGCTGTCAAGTGTTCTTGTTATTGGGCTTTTTGTATATCCTGCAGGGCCCTTCTCATGACAGTATACATATACTCTACGCCTTAAATAAACCCCAAATCCTAGCGAAGCCCTGAGCCCCCAAACCCAAACCTAGATATAAATATATGTATATACACACATATATATATATATATATACATACATACATACATACGTACATACGTACATACGTACACACGTACATACATACATACATACATACATACGTACGTACGTACGTACATACATACATACATACATACATACATACACACACATACATACATACATACATACATACATACATACATACATACATACAATCTATCTATCTATCTATCTATCTATCTATCTACATACATGCGTGCATGCATGCATGCATGCATTTCATTCCGGCCTCTTGCAAGATGAAATCGAGGTGAAACAACCTCGAGCTAACCAGGCTGAAACCGCGACACAGCAGGCCACGATGGGGTCCGCCTAGCCCACCATGGCTTCGCAACCCACAGTCGGGCAAAGAGAAACCGGCAGAAAGCACCAAGGAGGGAGGACATGGCGAGGGGCCTTAAGGAGGCATACATACATACACAGATACAGCACATACATACCTACCTGCCTACCTTACGAGTAAATACCTACCTACCTACCTACATACATACATTCATGCGTATACACGTATGTGTATGCATATTCATATCATGAAATCTCATCATAGTCTCAAACAGACGGCCTGGAGGTCGGCCACACGCTGCAGGCACTCGTTGATGACTTGGTTCTCCAACCTGAGGCTCTAGGGCTCTGGGGCTTTCCGTGCCTGGAAAGGGGAAAAGGGGGTAAATGCAGGGCTTATGGCTTCAGGGCTTGGATTCACGAGGTGGATGGGGAAGCTATGTAGGGCTCGAAGGCTGCAGTGTGCGCTTCGACGGACCTGTTTATGTGGGCACAGCTGGCCGGATTGGGTCACCTTGTCATTGTCGTCAGCGGCAGCATCACTACCGCTACACTCGAAGCAACACAGCCTGAGCCACACACAATTTCCAACCCAAAGCCCTAAGAGCCCTAAGAGCCCCCAAAACTCTGAAGCGACGAAGGCCATGGAAAGGCCCCTGGACCTGCGAGAGCCTGCCAAGGCCGGGGAGCTGAAAAGCTTGCATGCGACACCTGAGCTCTGCGCGAAGTTGCGCGGCGGGTTGAGTGGGGGGGGAACCATTGCAATGGGCGCTTGGTAGCTTCGATTCGGTCAGGACTTGCCAGCAGACTTGACGTGTGGCTACAGGGCAACGTGATGCAGTGCTACTAGTGGCTGTAGACTGTAGTATCGCTCGCTCTCTGATCCACCGGGGCACTGCCCCAGTCGCTTCAAGTTCTGATTCAGCGTATCCTCAGGCTCCTTCTCAGTGGCATTGTCTTTCTTGCCCTGCAGCCAGCAGTAGCTTTCTAGCTGTGGTTCGCTGACACTCCAGACAAAAGCAGAAGCATACCAACTCGCGCGGCCTATGCATCCTTCCCGCCCGCAGCTTCACAGCATGATTCGAAAGGGCTGCGCTGGAATTCACTGCTCCGAAGTTGATGTCAACCTTCCACGTGCGTGCCTGGAGCTTTGCCGAAGATCCGTTCGCACCAGTGCTGGCGATGCTGGCCGCGCTGGCAGCGCTGGCAGTGCTCGCAGCAGTTTGCTTTTTGTTTCCGGGAGCCATGGCGAAGTAGTGCGACGGACGATTTTTGTCACCGGGCGTGGCACACCCGAAAGCTAAGATGCTATCATGCGCATATCGATCGTCTGCTCGTCCCTGCAAAACGTGAAAACCCTGCACCCCGTGTGCCAGCATGTTTCTGTCTAGGCTCTACCTAAAGATCAGCTGTTGGTCGACATGATGCCCTGTCCGTTAATGTCGCTTACCGCTTACCATTGCCGGCATGCTGGCAGTTGCGCAGTGACGGTCTCTGGAGTCTAGTCCAAGCAGCGTACTGAACGGTACTGAACGCAGAACAAGCTACGCTACAAACAAAATCTCTTAAGATCTTCTGCGCCTGAGCAGGTACTCATCAAAAAACTTGCAGGGCGCCACAGGATACCCAGAAACATCCCTCTGGAGCCCATGCTGGCGACCAGTGCAGGATGCCAACTCTCCACAAGCCAAGAGCTTACAAAGGCCTGGGCAAGAAGCGCGCAATCCAAAGATCTACTCAAGAACACTAGGAACCATAACAAGCGCAGCCGTCGAAAGGCCGCGAATGGGGATCGCCCGATCATCCTCCTCCCCTGTAGGCCTTGAGAAGCCTATCCGGCATGAGAAACCCTTCCAAAAAAACGAAGCCGAACCACAATGCCCACAATTCCTAGCAGATTGAAGTCTCATGAAGTCTCCTGAAATCTTAAGCCGTACCGATAGTGTCGGCTTTTAGGTTCGAAGCTTTAGGGCCTAGAGGCCCCCACGGTGCTTTGGGGCGGGAGTCTGGGGTTTTCAGGGCATCGCAGCGGGAGAAGCAGGTCCCCAACCATTCTTCTGCGATTCGGCAGCAGCGATGCAAACGGCGAGGCATCGCTCACGGAAGGCTTTATCCCCGCAGCCGATCATGATGACACCATGCTTTTCGCAGTAGCAGCCCTCTCCGGCGCCGACTGCGTAGCTTTTCAAGTCCATCTGCCCGAACATGTTGTAAAGTCGCGACTTGCTGGTCCCAAGAAGCGACCCGAACTCGGGGTTTCCTGTGCAACTTCTCCGGTACGACGTAAAGCACCGATTCACCCGTAAGGGTCTTAATCCGCCTGAAGGCTTCCTTGATGATGGCCTCGCCATCAGCGGAGAGCGGTTTTCCCGCTTCTCCCCGGTCGTCCCACCACTCTCCGTGCTGCGGCTGCGGGCTGGGCCTGACCGGCTGCGCTGGGCTGCGGCAGTTAGACCTTACAGCTTGGCAGTTTAAGGTGGCACACGGTTCCTGCGGAGGCATGCCAGGCACAAATGCGTCAATCTGTCGTGAAGCTGCGTCGGGGGATCATCTCATCAAGGAGAATGCTAGGGCTACGCGAGAACTGCACGGCAACTGTCCGCTGAAGAAAGATTAGGATTGAAGCGGCCGTCGCTCCTTCCTGTTCTTGCAACCTCCGACTTGCTCAGGCCGCAACAGTAACCAGCATCACAGCGCAGGCCTGCAGATCATATGAAGCAAAAACTGTTTGGACATCAAGCTTGCGCACAGACGCGGTTCGGAAGACTGTGTGCCCATGTTGGTCGAAATCACAAACAAATTAATGACTGAGGGCAGAATGTCGGACTTGCAAACATGTTGGCCTTCCCCCATTTCCCCCGAATAATCAATACGGGTTTCCAATACGGCTTCTTTCCCTCAACACCTGTTCTTGCAACATCCGACTTGCTCAGGCCGCAAAAACAACCAGCATCACAGCGCAGGCCTGCAGATCATATGAAGCAAAAACTGTTTGGACATCAAGCCTGCGCACAGACGCGGTTCGGAAGACTGTGTGCCCATGTTGGTCGAAATCAAAAACAACTTCATGACTGACGGCAGACTGTCGGACTTGCAAACATGTTGGCCTTCCCCCATTTCCCCCGAATAATCAATACGGGTTTCCAATACGGCTTCTTTCCCTCAACACCTGTTCTTGCAACATCCGACTTGCTCAGGCCGCAACAGTAACCAGCATCACAGCACAGGCCTGCAGATCATATGAAGCAAAAACTGTTTGGACATCAAGCCTGCGCGCAGACGCGGTTCGGAAGACTATGACTGAGGGCAGAATGTCGGACTTGCAAACATGTCGGCCTTCCCCCATTTCCGCCGAATTATCAATACGGGTTTTCAATACGGCTTCTTTCCCTCAACACCTGTTCTTGCAACATCCGACTGACTCAGGCCGCAACAGTAACCAGCATCACAGCGCAGGCCTGCAGATCATATGAAGCAAAAACTGTTTGGACATCAAGCCTGCGCGCAGACGCGGTTCGGAAGACTATGACTGAGGGCTGAATGTAGGAGTTGTAATCATGTTGGCAGTCCCCCATTTCCGCCGAAAAATCAATACGGGTTTTCAACACGGCTTTTTGCCTTCAGCGCCCATCCCAATCTACGCGTAAAGCTACCTCGCCACCTCTTTGCATCCAAACAGCTTGGCGATTCTGCAAGGCCCGGCGCCCGTCTTTGACAGCTTTAATCAAGCGGGTGAGCGGAGCACTCAACGATCTGGTACCGTCATTTTCGACGTGGACCGCAGCTTCCCGCCAAAACGAACTCGTATCCAACCCCGCAACGCAGAAGGCACGTAACGGAACAGGCCAATCCTTGGAATTGTGTCACATATGTTCTGCGATTTTGGAGCAGTGCGATTTTGGAGCAGAAACATCCTTCGACTTAAGGTGCGGGTGCATGGTGACTGCAGAACTTTCAATTGGGAAACATCCCCACCCACGTTTGGCGTTTGAGATTTGCATGACGGTGCTGCCAAATAAACTCCAATGCTGCTTCGGTGTTTACATTCGGCATCTTTGGCTGGAAATGTAGATAGATGCATATTTTCCGGCGTCACCCGAAAACCAAACACCCCCAGTAGTTATCCATGTTTGTATGCAACGTCTGATGTTGGACTCTGGACTCTTGCCATCACACCGAAATTGTGAACAACCCTTGGCAAGCGCAGCCGTTGCATCAACATCCGATAGTTGGCTTGGACCTGTTTTGAAGAACCCCCGATGTGTTGCATCGAAGGCGCAGACCATTGCTCGCTGACGAAATCCAGCAGGAACAGAAGCTGGAGGCGTTCCACAATGTGTCGTTCTTCACTCATGGCGAAAGTCATCAAAAGACGTCTGGCCATGGTGCACGGTGGTGTGGCAGGAAAATAGACTCGTTCTCGGGCGACAAGAAACCGCTGCCAAGCGCAGAAAACAACTTGAATGGAATACAACGTATGTTGCACCCGGAAGTTACGGAGAACCCATGCATGTACGGCACGGAGATCATCCAAGCACTGTCGCTTGTAGTCTTGACTCCCCACGTCGCCTTTCAATGTTGCGAAAAGGGTGCGCCCAGCGGGTCCGATGAATGTGAACTTGCAATCGACCTCGGAAAGGCGATCGTTCATCCCTGGGCAAAACGTACGAAGTAACAGGCATGAACATGCGAAGGCAAACTTGCTCCAATAGCAATGGATTGCGTCGCGGAACTTCGCTGCTTTTGCGGCTTTTGGTCGTCCCATCAGCTCAAATAAAAGCAGCGATCTCATCAATCTGCGGGTTCGTTTCCGCACAAGCTTCGTTGGACAATCCAAGTCCGTAACGGCCTCTGCCAGCCGCCCAAAACAGCTTGCAAATTGTTGAGCTGCTGCTTCCCATCGTTCAGCTCGTTTGTGCATGTGAATAAGACTATCAAAAAGCCGTGAGGAAACGGCAACACAATCAGCTGCACGGCAACACAGTCGAGTTCCATCTGCTGCATCGAACCATCTTCGGGCCGTTTGTCTAGTCAAGGCGTAGAACTGTAGGCGGTCCAAGAGGGCGCTCGAGTAAGAATTTATTTCATTGCGCAAAAACTGTTGCAAAGCTTCCGCAACTGGAGATGTCTCTAAAGGTTGCTGTGGGCGCAGCAGAACTTCATCGACAAATGCCGGGTCACCAACATAGAAGCAAATTGTAACGAGGTGACCCCATACTTGCAAGAGCCGAGCGGGAAAGGTGACCACTTCACAACTGTCGGACATCCAACCCCGGAGTCTGCGGAACAACTCGACTGACCACATCTCCCGCCGAGACTGCTCGGGTTCCAGGCTTCCAAGCCTTTCGGCCATGTATACGTCCTCTTGCTTTGTCAAATCAGACATCTGCTCCAAATCCATCCATTGCTCCCAGGCAGTGTCACTTGGTGACGGACGAAACCTCCCAACCCCACGGAACACCCAACGGACAAGGAAGTAGAACAACGACTGCCAAGCAGGCATGAGCTCGTCTTGGACTCCAAGGCGGTAGCCCAACTCGCGGCTCTCTTGCGCGACACAACCTGGAGCTCATTCTTCCAGATGGGTATCGAAAAAGGTCTTTTGGTGTTTTCGTGTTGTTAGAATGTCTTGGCCAACTTCGTGCACCAGAAACACGCCCTGAATCAGATTGTGTACTAGGTCGCATGGGTGCAGTTGCATATAAACAGTGTGGATACCGTTAGGTTAACTGCGTGAGGGTTTGGTATCGATGATATCGTATATGCGTGCTCACCTCTACCGGGCGTAATGAAGGTGTGTGGTTGCTCTTGTAAACGTACAGTGGTTCCACAAGCTCTTTGGTCACTCCCTGCAGGCAAACTCGGACCGACTCTTGTCTCACCAGAGAAGCGCGAAGAATTGTCTGTGCAAAGGGAATGGCTCGAATCCTCTAGGTCGTCCATATTGCTAGCACAGCTGTTATGCCTTTAGCATAATCTTGAGCCAAAGTTGCGTTGCATGCAGAGCAATTGAGATTGGCACTGTAGCATGGCCCGGCAAGCGGTTCCATGCGAAGGCAGGTTGAAACAAGGTCCGCAAGACGGTACCTTGCTCTACGTACATGGCAAACCATAACATTGTGCTCATAGCTCATATAGCGACACCTACGAATTGGACTAGGCATCGAGGTCCGTTCGCACCCCCCATGAGTTGTGCCTCCGGCACTGCTCGCATGGAAGATGGTCACGATTGGACAGAGAAGAAAAG